TCGAAATCAGCACGAAAATCTACCCAGGTTGCGATGCCGCAGCGGCAGCCGCAGGGCACCGCTGAGGTGGAGGAGCCGATGGCGGTGGATTCGGGCCGTGCTGGCCTCGAAAACAGCAGCTTCCACCCCAACGCGGGCGCTTCCCAGTACGGGCAGCGTCAACGAAACGACATCGCGACGGACTCGCCTAACGAAGAAGCGACTGCTAGAGACACCGACGAAGAGAAGGCACTCGAAGAATTGTCCGGCCTTGTCCAGGGGGAAATTCTTGACAAAGTATGGAGAATCGTCCGCTCCCTTGCCGACGCGAAGATTCTGCGCCACCGCAGCGACACCGCCGAGACCACCCCAACACGCTCTGAACTCGAAGAAACGATCTACAAAGTCGTACAAGATGCCATCCGAGACACCCGAGCCGCTCCCGACGCGCAACCGCAGCGATCATGGGCCGAAGTCGCGGCGACCAGACGCGACGCCTACCACCCCCCCCCAAAGCCCGTCCCCGCCCGACACGACCGCGAAATCACGGTGAAGCAAAACAACCCCCCCGACGAGATACGCACACGAACCCCCACCGAAACCGTAACGGCAGTCAACCTAGCTATTGGAGAACCAAAAGCCGCAGCAGCAGCCCGCCGCCTCCAAAGCGGCGACACAATCATCACCTTCCACGGCCCGGCGGCCAAATACATCGCGGCGGACAACTGGGTCCCCAAGGCCTTTGGAGACAACGCATCGATATCGAAGAGAACCTACAGCGTCATGATAAAAGGCATGCCGGCCGAATGTCAGAGAGTCGACCGCGACACCCTCTGCAAGGAAATAGGGGAGGAGAACGACGTCACGGTCATCAGAATAACCCCGGTACGAAGCCGCAAGGATACCGCAACGAGAATCGGAATGATCCTAGCAGTAGACAGTGTATCGGCCGCCAACCAGCTATGCGACAGAGGACTAGTGCACAACTCGATGATAATGGACTGCGAACCCTTTGAGGAGTCGCTGCGGCCGAAGCAATGCTTTAACTGCTACAAGATGGGCCACATCGCCAGATTCTGCAGAGAGGAAGCCCGTTGCGGACGCTGCGGCACCGCAGCACACCCGGAAGGGGAGAAGGAATGCCCGCTGGCACCCGATAAAGCTGCGAAATGTCTAGGATGCCAAGGCGACCACCCAGCGTGGTCGAGACAGTGCCCTGCAGTAAATAGCCACTGGCAACGAGCAATCCGGGCCTACCCACACAGACCCAGACGATTCGAAGACAGGCAGAACCCGCAGCGACACCCCGAAGCCCCCGCCCGCAGCTGGCCGAACCCAGAAGACTATGGACTCCAAACCCTCTCCCACCAGAAGAGAGGCCCCGGCCGCCCCCCAGGCACAAGCCGAGCAGCCAAGGTAGCCAGAACGGGCCCCAACGCCATCGCAGTGGCACCGCAGAGAGCCAACAGAACGCCGGAAGACACAACCATCGGAAGGGCCTTCCATAGAGCACAAAGCTCTGCCCCAACGATGTCCATGAGCCAACCAATCGAGGCCGAAGCGAGCTCCAGCCGCACCCAGGACCCCCCCCCAGCACATGGAATTAAAGGTCCTCCAATGGAACACAAACAAGCAGGCAGCCCTAACACTCCTAGCCCTAGGAGGCAAGGAGCAATACGACATAATATCCCTACAGGAACCGCATCGAGATCCTACTACGGACCAACCAGCCTGCCCGGCTACCGGCAACTACCACATGATATATCGCAGCGGCCGCTCAGCGATGTACATACACAAAAAACACAGAATCCGAGACTGGACAGCGATAGGAGGGGCTGACTGGGGAGGAGTGATCTTCAAGGCAACAGGCCTTCGGATAATAGGGCTCTATAGCCCAGGTGGACGGATCGGCCGGAGAGGACCGTTCAGAGAAGCCGCAGCGGCTTCGAGGGGAAATCCCTCAATAATCGTAGGCGACATCAACCAACATCACCCCACATGGGACAAACACAACAGAACATCGGGAGGAGCGGAAACAGTTATTGAACTAGCCACGCTCAACGGTTGGAGCCTCCTAACTCCGAGGGGAAGAAAGACAAGAAGCCAAAAAGGCCACAGGGATGGCACCATAGACCTCGCATGGGCATCGCAGGGAGTACAGGCCCGCCACGGAGGGGAAGCAGATATCGAAGGATCAGACCACAGACCCCAACTAATCACAGCGAACACCCAACCGCAACCCCAACTGCAACCCCAAGGACCCCCAGACGATACCGAAGAGGCCCTCCGCAACCTCAACTGGAGCGAAATGAACGAGTCACGCATAGCGGCTGAAGTCAACCTGAGGCTAAAGCTAAACAAGATCGGAGCAAATATAAAGACTACAGAGGACCTAGACCGAGCCACAGAAGAGCTAACTGAAGCCCTCACCCAGATTGCGATCGCAGCGACCCCGCAGCGCAAACAGCCATGCTGGCGATCGGAAAAATGGTGGAACGCTGAAGTCCAGGAAATCACCAAACAAGTCAAACGAGCCAGGAGACGCTACCGACAACGCAAGGGTACCGCTGAGTGGGAGCACCTCCTCCTCACCCAACACCTCCAGAACAAAGCCGTAAACGAATCACGCAGGGAACAATGGAGGCTATTCCTCCAGAAAGCCGGCGACGACCCCAAGACATTCTGGAAGATGGAGAGATGGGCGAGACTCCGCAGCGGCCTCCCTAGGGACAGCCCGCGGATCCCACCCCTACAAAGAAGAGAGGGAGACGAACCCACAGATGACCACAGCGAGAAAGCCAGGATCCTGGCGGAACGTTTCTTCCCGGACCCGGAGGTCGACCTCAGCGACATCCCCGAGGGGGCCACCGCCCCTTTACCATTTACCCAAGATGACTCCAGGGCCCAAAAATGCGACGACAAGGAAATAGCGGATATCCTAGCAAAGATGAGACCATGGAAGGCCTCGGGCAACGATAACATCCCTACAGGCCTCCTTAAGGCCTGCGGCAAGGCATTCAACGAGACAATGGCCAGGATAACCTGCGCTAGCATGAGGCTAGGATACTTCCCGCAGCGGTACCGCAGCGCGACAGCAGTGGTGCTCAAGAAAGCAGATAAGACCCGAGAAGAAAGAAGCTACGCTAAAGCCTACAGGCCCATCTCACTCCTATGCACGACCGGGAAAATTATCGAGGCAGCCATCAAGGAACGCCTCGTCATCGCAGCGGAAGCCCTGGGGCTCCTGCCGGGAGGCCAGATGGGAAACCGCACCGAGAGATCGACCGAGACAGCCATCCGACTTGCAACCGAGGCCGTCAGGACGGCATGGGACCGCTCCGGTATCGCTACGATCCTGCAACTAGACGTCTCGGGCGCCTTCGACACAGTAAACTTCATTCGACTACTCTACATACTCAGACGGGCAGGAATCGACCCTTGGTTAGTAGAATGGACCCGCAGCTACCTCACAGGAAGAACGACGCGACTTCGCTTCGATGACGAAGAATCTTCCACGTTTACAATCCGCGCAGGGGTACCGCAGGGCTCCCCCCTCTCCCCCATCCTCTTCCTAATCTACATCGGCACACTCTATAAGCTACTGGAGCAACAGAAAGGACTCGTCATTGCGGGCTTTGCAGACGACACCAACCTAATAGCAGTAGGGCCATCGGCGACAACGACCCGACGCCGCCTGGAAACCGCATGGGTAATCTGCGACGTATGGGCCAAGAGGCACGGGATGATCTTCGAACCCAGCAAATCCAAGCTCCTCCACTTCACCAGGAAACACCAACCGATCCGGGACCCCATTCGGCTAGGGAACGCAACGATATCGCCGAGCGAGGACCTTAAGATGCTAGGAGTCTGGCTGGACCGGAAACTGGATTGGTCAACCCACCTCAAGAAACTGACGGCTAAAATGCAACGCCAGCAGTGCGCCCTCAGCGTGATCACTGCGTCTACGTGGGGATGCAACATCCACAAAGGCCGCCTGATCTATGTAGTGGCAATCAGGACCGCCCTAGCCTACGGAGCCTCCGCCTTTCACCAACCCACCGAACAGGGCGGCAACCCCCGAGGGATAGCCCGCAAGCTAGCCGCAGAGCAGACGAAGAGCCTTCGCATCGCAGCCGGGGCCTACAAGGCCACCCCAACGAGAAACCTAGAAATAGAGCTTGACGTCCCCCCCCTGGACCTTTACCTCAACCTACGGCTTGCCCACTTCGAGGCACGTACCAGCACCGGACCGGCCCAACAGGCAATCAACAGGGCTATCGCAGCGGTATCAGCGGCCCTACCGAAACGCAGAGGCCCTTGGAGACGCCCCAACGAAGCAAACACCAAATGGCTGCAAAGGTGGCTCAGGGACGGGAAAACAGCAGTCGATGCTGTAGACAGAGACTGGAAAGCACGATGGACAGCCGAGGCAGCAAAACGGAGGACGCAGAGGGGCCGCGACGACACCAGCATCTCAGACAGATCCCCCTTCGAAATGGACCACAGGACACTACACGGGAGCCAACCAAGATATATCAACAGCCTAATCATCCAATTACGAACGGGATGCATAGGCCTTCAAGCCTTCCTCTTCAGCAGAAGAGTCCCCGAGGTGACATCGCCACGGTGCCCCTGCGGCAATGGTAGGCAAACCGTAGAGCATGTCTTCACCTACTGCACGCTCTACGACAAGACCCTCCTCCCGGAGCCCAAACCACGGGACCGCAGGGATGTGGGACGCTACCTCGGCGACAAACGCACCGCACCCGCAGCGGCAATCTGGTACAGTAAGACGGTCCGTCCCACACAGTTCAGACTGGCAATAGCCCTACAGAAAAAATGGGAGGCACAAGAGGCAGACGAGGGAGGAACGAGATCTCAGCGATAACGCGCGGGTAACCACCCGGACTGATTGATTGAGACGTGGACGAAAGTCGCCCCGTGAAGGAACTAAGCCTATGAGGAAGGGTGCCTATGAAGGGCATAAGGCCGAAGCCGAAGCGATACCGTCAAGATATCCACTAGCCAATAACACTGTCATCGTCCTCCACATCCGAAGGAACCTCAACAGAGGCGGCGTTGAGCAAGGCCTCACCAAGGACGACAAGGCGGCGAAGGAGACGGTTGGTCTTAGCAGCCGCAGAGCCACCGCCGAGGGCCCCCAGGGCCAACCCAGCGACCACCTTGTTCTTCGACCCACCCGCAGCAGAGGCCGCAGCGATAGCCCGCTGGTCGCGACGGCTGAAAATCTCCTCGGTCTTGTTTACATCGTCGGACTACACCAAATTAGCAAGATCCCCAAGAAACCGCAGAGGTACCTACGCGGCTGAGGGTCGTGCCCGCCTCCCGGCAAGCGTGATACCAGGCCAGGTGGGCCATGGACATAGCACGGGCGGGAGCGACGAGGTCGGCAGAGTGAGAAGAAATCTAGGAAGGGTTAACAGGGACTCAGAGGTACCGCAGGGGCTACTCACCGAACCGCAAACATGCTTCCCCTTCACACAGTGGGCGCAGCGGCCACTGGATCCTAGTCGAGAGTCAATACCAAAGGAAGAGAGACCGCAGAGCCGACGCAGAGATAACGCACCGTAGGCAAAGCAGAAACGACCAGGAGCACTGGCCAAAACCATTGACCGAGCGCAGCGGGTGCAGGGAATGGGTCGGTAACCACCAACTTTCTACAGAACAGATTAGCAGGGACACCGCAGAGACACCGCAGAGTACTCACCTCGGCAAAGAAGACTTTCTCTACATCAACCAGGAGGGACGGCGGCTTGTCGGGCACTTCCAGAGCAGGACGAGGCGAAGGGGTGTCGGGCTTGGGTCTCTTCGAACCCTTGGCCGCACCCGCAGCGGCACCGCCGGAAGGACGCTTGAGGGGAGTGACGACAACCTCCTCCTCCTCCTCCCCCTCCTCCTCCTCCTCCTCATCGTCGGCGGGGGAAGCCGGGGCAGCCGCAGCGGCCTCGTCGCGGGCCTTCTTCTCAGCCTTCTTCTGGGCGGCTTTCTCACGGCGACGGGCTGCAGCCTTCGCCTTCCGCTCCTCGGGGGTCGTGCGGGGAGGCATCGTGGCGAAATCGAGACGTAATCGAAGCGGCAACCAGGCGGGAAGCGAGAAGGAAAAAAACGACTTTCCACAAGTCAGCGAGGACCCAGCGACAGCGCAGAGACCACAAAGGGGGAAGGAGGGAGACTCACAAGAGACAGCCGCGGCGGGGGCGGCGGCGGGGGAATGATAAGGAAGAAAGGAAAAAGGGAAGGAAGAAACGGAGGGGAAGGGGCTTTTTATAGGGCTCGGAAAAGCCTTAGGCAGGCCCCGAATCCTTAAGCCCTAAGGGGCGCGAGGACAGAGGCGCGTTCGAAGCCATCGAGAGCCTGAACCGAAAGTGAGGAAAAGGTGAGAATAGAGACCGCCGAGGCAACGCAGGGCCCGCCCTGCGACGCAGCAGGGCGAACCAGCTCCGGAAATTGTGGGGCCGGGATCCCGAGCGAACGGCTGCGCGGGCCCGGCACCCACACACGCGCCGGCACACAAGGGTCACGTGACCGGAAGAAGGAAAGGCCGAACTCCGTGATGCCGACGGCGGCCCGGGGGGCCACCGCAAGGTCATCCGGAGGTCCGCACCAGGAAGGGCAGACGCAGCGCTGCCGAAGCGATCACGAAGAAGGCGAACCAGGCGGGTCGCAGCACCGGTCGCTGCGATCTCGCACACAACCCCCCGACGGCTCCTCTACGACCCAGAGGAAGCCGAGACCGGAAGGCGGGCAAATGCATACTATGCAACCTGGACAAGGCTGGTGACGAGTTTACCAGTACAGACCTGACGACAACAACGAGCCCTTTGAGGTAGCAGAGCGAAATCGCAGCGAGGTTTTTATCCTATAGCTAGATAGCTAGAAGGTTTTTCCTCTCTGAATTAGTTGAAGGAGTTCTATAGGCCTAGATATAGGTAAAATAGCGTATACTAAATAAATTAAATATATATAATAAGTAAGTAGGCTAAATAAATAAGTAAGCTAAAAATCCCTTAATCTCTTATCTTTTTAATTAATTAATTAATTCTTAACTACTAAAAATATCTTAATTAAATAAAAAAGAAAATATCCTTCTTACTCTTTAAGCTCTTTAAAATAACCTAAAATTAAATATCTAGAATACTATAAAGATTTATAATATATATTGTAATATCTTATATTGCCAGCAGAAAGGTATACTATCTTAATATAATACTATCCCCAAATTTTATAAGCTATTTAATCTAGAGAAATAGATTATTATTTAATTTATTCTTAATTTAAATTTATAAGAGTTTCCCCTATAACTATATAATATTAAATAAATAGCTAACTAACTGCTTACTAACTATAATATATTATTTATTAGTAAGTACTAAGCTTCTAACTTTATTAAATAATAACTAGAGCTTAAAATATTATTCTTTTATAAATATAACTATTAGAGGGCTAAATAAAAAAATCTAATTATTATTTATAATTAATTTTAGCTTATAGAGAATATAATTATAAAATATAATATTAATCTAGCTAATATTTATAATTTTAATAAGATTAGCTTTATAATAAATATAATTATAAGTAAAATAGTTATTATTAGTATAAATAGATATAAAAACTTAAAATTAGTTTAGCCTGGAAATTAAAAATAAATTATAATTATTTAGATAATTAATATAAAAAGCTAGATAATTTAGCTATTTATTATAATTACAAGCTAATATTATTTTACTAACTAATATTAAAAAAGTAATCTTCTAGGTAATTAGGCTATTATAATAACTTAAAATAACTAAATTAATAATAAAATAAATCTTAAGTAGCTTAAGTATTTTAATTAATATATAAAGAATTAATTAACTAATTACTATTATCTTCTAATTCTTAATAAATATAAAAATTATTATTTTATTAACTTTAAGAAATATTATAAAAAGAATAATATTATTATATTTTATATACTATTTTATTTATCTTATTTATTCTAGCCTCTTAATATCAGATATTTTAAGCTACTTAAAATAGCCTATAGTTAAGTAATTAAGTAATTAATTAGATATTTTATAATTTATATTTTAAAGACTGAGTTCTTTCTAGCTTTTTATACTATCTATAAAGTTACTATAATAAGAAGTAATATTAAAAAAGGTTTTTAAGAGGCTGGACTTATTTTCTTAAACTTAGAAAATATTATATTAAAGCTTAATATATAGCTATAGACTTTAATACCAGCTATAAAAGAGATTAGCTTTTCTAACTTTTAAATCTTAAAGACTTTAAAGATAGTATTTAAGATTAGTTTATAATTTAAATATCTTAAAAGATAAATAAAAAGATATTAAAGTAGCTCTTTAATATCTATTCTTAAAATATTTAAATTATTTTCTAAAAGAATAAAAATAATAATATATTAAATAGTATTATTAAAATCTAAGAATTAGATTCTTTAATAGATAAATAAGACTTTTAGTAAGTAGTATAAAGTAAAAAAAAACCTACCTATAAAATAGAGAGAAGATAATTGTAAAGAAAGAAAGAGAAGCAATTAATTAAATAGATATTAATATATAGATATAGGCTAAATTATTAAAAAGTAGTAGTTAAGAGAAGTTGGCAATATTAAGAGAAAGATATTATAGAACTTATAAAAAGACTGGTTATAATATAAGAATCTATTAGGCTGTTATTAAGATCTTTAAAGAATAGTATAGTAATTAGTTTTAATTAATTTAAGATATTTCTTTTTTTATTAAGGTTTTAATTTTAAAAGTTGGAATTTATAGCCTATTTATTTATTTAGCCTACTTACTTATTATATATATTATACTAATAGTTTATTAAGGATATATATAATTTTATAATTCTATAAATAAGTTTATATTATATAGCTTTATTAATAGGTTATTATAGTATTTAACTTTTTTAAGTTTATAGAAATTAGCTAATTTTTTAAAATCCTTAATAAAAATATTTATATTTTAAATAGGAGAATTTATTTTTAATCTTTTAAAATAAATTTAAAGATAGCTTAAAGCTGGCTTATTATATAACTTTATTATAATTTTCAGTTTATCTTATTATAATTATTTTAAAACTCTCTTTATTATTATAAATTAATTATTCTTTATATTATTATTAATATTAACTTACTTAGTTATATATTATAAATTTTACCTAAGATTATAAGTTATATTTTAAATAACTATAATATGTATAATAAGTATATTAATTAAATAAGCTTACCAGTTAAAAATCCCTTAATCTTTCATCTTCCTACTTAATTAATTAATTCTCAACTAATTAAGATACCACAATTAAATAATAAGATAAATATCCTTTTATACTTCAAGCCTATTAAAATAACTCAAAATTAATCTCTAATATACTATAAAATTATTAAGTTAAGTATAATACTCTCTTTAACTAAGAAAATAGCATTACTACTTATTGCAATTAGATTCCAAATTATATAAACTATTTAATCTAGAGAATAGATTATTATTTATTTATTCTTAACCTAAATTTATAAGAATTTCCCCTATAATTATATAATATTAAAGAAATAGCTAACTAACTACTTACTAACTACAATATATTACCTATTAATAAGTACTAAGCTTTAAATTTATTAGATAATAACTAGTATTAAAATATTTTTTTTATAAATATAATATTAAAAAATTAAATATAAAATTAATTATTATTTACAATTAATTTAGATTATAAAAATATAATTATAAAATATAATATATTCTTATTAATATTTATAACTTTAATAAAACTAGCTTTATAATAAGCTTAATTATAAGTAATATAATTATTATAAATATAAAAAATATAAAAACTAAAATTAATTTAATTTAGAAATTAAAGTAAGTTATAATTATCTAGATAATTAATATAAAAACTAGATAATTTAATTATTTATTATAATTATAAATTAATATTATATTATTAATTAATATTAAAAAAGTAATCTTCTAAATAATTAAATTATTATAATAACTTAAAATAGCTAAATACATAATAAAATAAGTTTTAAGTAACTTAAATACTTTAACTAGTATATAAAAACCTAATTAACTAGTTATTATTATCTTCTAATTTTTAATAAATATAAAAATTACTATTTAATTAATTTTAAAAAATATTATAAAGTAAATTATATTATTATATTTTATATACTATCTTATTTATTTTATTTACTTTAACTTCTTAATATAAGATATTTTAAGCTACTTAAAAATATATATAATTAAGAAATTAAGTAGTTAATTAAATACTTAATTATTTATATTTTAAAAATTAACTTCTTTCTAGCTTTTTATATTACTTATTAAATTACTATAATAAAAAGTAATATTAAGAGAAATTTTTAAAAAACTAAAAAAAAATTTTAAATTTAAAAAATATTATATTAAAACTTAATATATAACTATAAACTTTAATACTTATTAAAAAGAAAACTAGCCTTCCTAATTCTTAGATATCTAAGATATTAAAGATTATTCTTAAAACTACTTCTTAATTTAAATATCTTAAAAAATAAATTAAAAGATACTAAAGTAACTCTCTAATATTTATTATTAATATACTTAAGTTATTTTCTAAGAAAATAAAAACAATAATATATTAAATAGTATTATTAAAGTCTAAGAACTAGATTCTTTAATAGATAAATAAGACTCTTAGTAAGTAGCATAGAGCAAAAAAAAACTACCTATAAAATGGAGAGAAGATGACTATAGATAAAAGAAGGGATGTAATTAATTAGAAGGATCTTAATATGCAGTTAGTGGCTAAATTGTCGAGATATTATGGTTAAGGAGGGTTGGTGTAACTAAAGGAAAGGTATTGTAGAATATATAGCAAGACTGGTTATAATGTAAGAATATGTTAGGTAGTTATTGCAATATCTAGAGAAGAATATAGTAATTAGTTCTAATTAATTAGATATTTTGTTATATATTTATTTTAATTTCTAAATTAAAAGTGATAATTTTTAACTGGCAAGCTTATTTGACTAGTATGCTTATTATGTATGTTATTATATAATATTTAATAATTTAATAAGAAAGTTTAAAGGTATTATTAAATTAGAAGTTAATATTCCCTTTTAAATAAATATAGATATATAAAGAAATTAATATAATAATAGTTTCTAGATAATATAGATAGCTATATTACTAGATATAGGGATTATTAGAAAAAGTCTTTTTTAGATATTATAATATAGTTATCTCTCTAGATAAAAAAGCCTTAGACTTTAACTATAAGAATATATATCCTAATACCTATATTTTATAGCTATCAGCCTGCCTAAAAGAGTTATCTTACTAGCATACAATAATTACAGAGCTTTAAAATTAATAGAAGTTATAGATAATAAAGATTAACACTCTAATTAAAATAAGCTAATACCAGAAGTCTCTATTTTACTATTTTGCTTAAGTGCATATTTCTTTATGTTATTATATATACCAGCATACACAAAGACTCGTAAGTTAATTTAAGATATTAAATTTAATCCTGAGCACCAGACCTATATATAACGCAATCAAGATTCTTCCCACCGGCACTTGGAAGGGGGGTATACCTAACAGAGTGCTGAACGGAACCTAGACCACCTATTTTTCCTAGTGTATAATCGTTGTTGTCATTGGGCGATATATGCTCTGGTCCTTCGTGTTCCTCGTCGAGAAAAGCTTGTGCGGCAACGTATTCCGTACTCAGGGCGCATATCCAGCCGATTGTGTAGTCATTAGGTTGAGACATGTTCGTTCGCAGGATGATCCAGAGGCAAGGTATGCTACGAAGGACGATTAGTGTTTAGTCGCTGAGGTTTCTCAGAAAGATTACCTGCCTCCGCCTGGATAAGTTGGATCCACCTGCAGACTGCTATAGTCGCCAAGCACAACAACTAACCTGACAGTGCAACTTATCCTCTAATTGCAGGGTTTCAGTAGGATTTTAGGATCTGCGCCGAAGTTTAATTGACAGAACGTACAGTACCCCAAAAAGAACAACGATTATAAAAGAAGCCACGACACTGCAACTATCGCTCAAACAAAAAGCGGTTAGGCAACATTAAAGTAAGTCGATCATCTAACCCTCAGCTACAGGCGCTTACTCGCAATTAAATAGGCACCTCTCGCCCAATTATATTATTCACATACTGGTACGGCAGGGCGGCATCACACACTCTTTACTAATTATACATTATTATTATGTCTCGTCTCGTTAAGGGACCTGCTTATGGACAAATTCTCCAAGGCAGTAGAGTCGAGTACTCGAGTTCGTGCTTCTCCATCGCCGACGTGTTTGGGCGAACAAAACCGTCAATAGAGTTCTCCGGTCTCCATCCCAGCCAGTCGAGTACGAGAGCAGCATGGCGCCGACGCGTCGCGACACGGTCACGACCAGCCTCGCCTGCATCGTACCGCACAGAGCTCCGTGACTTGGCCGCCGCGGGTCGTCGAGTCACGGCCTGCATTGAGGAGAAGCTCGACCGTGGAGCGGCCGGCCAGCATTCACGGACGATGATAGCTGGTTTATTCTGCAGAGCTGAACCGATCATTTCCCGAGATTTGGCATCGGCAGTGATGAGGCTGGGAGCTATTGACTGCCTGCTGCAAAGCAGCCCTTTGGGGCAATTCCCACGTGGGGGTTAATCCTATTCGAGAACCTGGTAATCTAATAGCCATAGCGATCCAGCCGAAATGCATGGAGTAATCGCACCCACACCCGACAGGGTACAATATCGACTCTGGGGAATTGGCTACAGTGGGTGGCAGAAAGTGTTAGCCACCTGTCAGGTCTGATTGTCATGCTGCTTTAATTTTCTGCATTTAAGCTCCCCGGAATTACAGCGGTTACCTGCCCATAATTTAGACTAGCTAATGGTCAGATTAGTGGTCATGCGCTGTAGTGTAGCGTTGCTGCCAGTATTTTAGGGGATTGCTAGCTTATAGCGCTAGTTCAAAGCGGCGACAAGTAATTACCTGCTTGAGCCTAGCTAGCTGCTCGATACCTGACAGGGGGCTAACACTTTTTGCCACCCACTTTAGCTGTCAGAGCGAACAAGCAAGAGCGGGGCGCTAGCAATTCGCCGTCCCTCCGCTATTCACAGCCGAGAGCATACTGTAGACGGTCAGCCGTGCTGCCTGATCGTCACAGAAGAGAGACAAGGTAATACCACCGACTTCGCGCGCTATGCTCGCCGGATCTACAGTCCAGGCGGAGCTTCAGCTCACTCGACGGAACGGGTACACGACAGATTTGGAACAAGTTTGCCAGTTGCTCATGCTGGTTATGGAATTCACAGGCCATATCCGCGGTAGTCGAGGTTACATCCGACAGCCGCGTAAATAGAAATAGCAAAAGGGACTACCTCTCCGTGGTAAGCAAAGACAGGAACTATGGCGTTAATAGGGATAGAGCGACTTGTTGACATCGCGGTTACAGGCGGTACGCGCACGTTCTCGGCGATCTTCGTCTTCCTGGCCGCTGGCAGTGGGTGGACGACCCCGCACTTCCACCAAGCACAAAGCACCGTCTCCGGGTACTTCAAGAGGTCAGACGTCAACGCAGGTCTACAGTCTGATGCTCGCGATGCGTTCCCCTGCAAGTTCACGAGCCCATGCCGGCACACTGTACTCTGTACCTGTGGAGTTCTTTTCGAGAGCGTGGAATTGGCGGCGGCGACGATTAGCCTTTGCGATGTTGTGCAGCCTTGCCGTTTGAGCCCTCGGCTGCCAACCACCCTGAACTGGGCGTTGGCCTTGACTGCAATGATTAAACACTACGTTCGACCATCATCCCGGCAAACCGATCCAAGTCGGCTTGCAATGCGCAGTGTAAACAATTAACTGTACCCTTGACAGCATCATGGACGATACTTGGCTCCGTTGCCCTTCCATATCATCTCCGTTCGAAAGTCGTTCGTTACCTCCTAGTGTCGACGCCGCGCCCGAGGCTGTCGGACCAAAAACCTATTGGAAACGTGTCGTTCGGTGCTTAGTTGGCGACGCAGATAACCATTGGTGGCATCGTTGCAGATGATTGCACCTCGACACCGCCAGCTGGCCGTCGGTCGCCGATACAAATTTTCCGGGAACGCGTGACGGCGGCATTTGATGACAGCTGGAGGCACAAAGGAAGACTTTTTATGATTTTGAAAGGAACCTCACAGGACAATGCGCCTGCATGGGTCCGTGAACCTTGATGAACGAAAGGAAAGGCGGTCGGTGAGGGCGGTCGGTAGAGGCGATTATCGTGAAGCGTTTTGTGGCCGATTCGTGTTTGGACACGGATGGGGGAGGCACGAGGCAGATTGAGCACGCATCAGGCTGTCACGCATGGTGCACCACCGCCTCACCAGACAACAAGTTGGTGGATGAAATCGTCGATGTTGCCGTTCCTGTACTTGAACCCGGCCCAACCTCGAAGGCTCACTACACTGCAACAGGACTGCTACAAAATCTCCCTTCAAACCCTCGTAGGCATGAATGCATCGTTGCAAAGGAAGCTCGGGCGCAGAGAGGTCTACATCAGCAGCAGCACTGACTCTTTTGGTGAACCTTGCAAAACGCCATGCAAAGCCTCAAGATCCTCCCTAGTTCGTGTGTGGCGGACTTCATACGCTTCATACGCTTCATACGCTTCATAACCTTGTGACCTCCTACCCTCCCCACCCTTCCTACCTTTATGCAACCCAACCCAGCCCCCGAAGTCCCTCAGCTTGGGGGCTAGGTGGGTGAACGCTCTACCTATCAGAAACATGGAGCGGGTTCGGCTGAGCCGAGTAATTCCGGCGATGTAGCCAGACTGCTGTTCGCATCTGAATACCTCTCCATATTTGGTGTATATAAGCCTGTAGCCGAGCGGGGAGAATGCCTCTGTGAACGGCACATCAGGGGTCACCCATATGGATGACCCATGAAGCGTGGCCCTGTTGGTTTGCCAAGCCGCATCCAATGTTTTAAATGGAAATATGTGTTGAGATGCGGGTTGACGTGTGTACAAGCGAGGGCATTTGTGAGTGACTCATGAAGGCACCAGAAACCGGCAAGGCCGGAAAGGATTGCCCACTCAACCCGCATTGTTGGCTTCTTGCCAGAGTGGCCGATCACCTATAAATCCTTTGGTGACGCGGAACAATTTGCGAAGCTCGTGTGCGGGGATGGGCGAACCATTACCGCATACGGACTCTTTACGGACTCTATCCAGTCTCCGTCGCCGAGCTCCGCGGGGCGCGGTAAAACAGCCAGTCGGACTTTCGGAGAGGTTCCAAGGCCGGATGTACCGGAGGGTCTCTCAATGGCCTTGCTCCCACGCAAGGAATCCAATGCATGGCTCGGGTTATTTAGAGTCAGTCTATCTGCTTCTCATTACATGTTTAGAACTTACGCAAAGCTAGGATCGATTCTATTTCAGGTCTTAAAGTGTATTCACCCATCAGAACAATGCCCTGGCCTTTCGAACAGCTGCCGCCGGAGGCAATTACACAGCCTGAATTATTTTCAGTTCGAGTCCCAGATTCCGATATTGAAGACTTCCCAACTCTCCTGCGTTTGTCCAAAATCGGCCCGTCGTCATGGGCTAATCAACAAGCTGATGGACAATTTGGCCTTCCAGGAGAATGGTTAGTCAAGGCGAAGGACGCATGTCAAACCAATTTGACTGGCGCATCTACGAGGAGCGTATCAACTCACTGCCCAATTTTCGGATGACCATTGAGGATCCTAAAGTTGTCGAATTACGCGTACACTTCTACAAGAAGTGCGTATTGTGATATCAATAGGTAATGAAACATAACCCTGCCTGATTGGCAACAAAATGGGGTTCAGTTTCATTTATCTAGGACGCACCTGAGGTCCCGTTTTGTACTTAGAATAAGACAAAATCATTCACTCTACTATTGCCTCAGTAACATACTGGCAAACTGGATTACTTCTGCCGCGTACGCTTGGTCGCCCTTCAAGCATAAGCTCGCCTGGCCGTGCCATTCATCAGCTCGGACACATACTTTCGGAACGGAATGAAATCCAGATCCGGATATAACTCCTTGCCATCCAAGTATCCTAAATATCGGGCATACTCAGGCGTGTTATCCCCTCGCACACAAGTGGAATAAGTGTATTGGGCAATGGCCAATGCCGATTGGGCACCCTTGTCCTCCAAGCCAGCAGCCTCAGCTGCTGTTTGCGCAGAAACAACACGGGCCTCTGCATCTTCATTGGAAATCTGCGCATCCTTGTCAGCTAATGTTGCAAATGAACCAGTTACGGGATACACATACGTAGTTATAATCCAACTTCTCGCCACTTGCTTCCTCCATGATCTGGAAGATCTCTCGCTGGGTGAGGACCTCGCTGTAGGCAAAGACCGACTTGTTCAAAGTCCGAGGGTCAGCGATGATTTTGGCCACATAGCGGCCGATATCACGAGAGTCTGTGACAGCAGAGGGAACAGCACCGTCGCCATTGAGTCCCTCGACAGGCATGATGACAAATTGGTCGATGCGTCCGGAAGGAAGCCTGGGAGGGGTAATCTGGTACCACCAACCAACATCGATGACGGTGTACGGGAGGTAGATCTTCTTGATATGGTTCAGAACCTCCTCTTTCTGAGTTTTGCGTTAGCTATTGCAACTTTTGTGATATTAGGTGCGTCAACGTACCGTCTCGCGGATGCTGAGTACGCCCTTAGGCGGAACAATTGTAGCGAAGAAAGTCGGAACGAAGCGTTTGACACCGGCCATCTTCGCCGCATTTGCTAGAGGAATCTGCAGTAGCAAAGCTGATGCGTCGAGTACAGGGATAACAACATCGGCGCCGGTAAGGATTTTGACTAGATCCTCTTCAGGTCCACCAAGGTCGGCTGCAACGACCTCAACGCCAGCATCCCTTAAGGCTTGGTTCTTGGCGGTGTTGAGTGACGACTGACGCGCCACAGCTGTCAAGTCCTGTAAACTGGTTAGGATAATGTTAGAGGAATGGACGCATTGGGACCTTACGAACTGGGTGCGAAACTCAAGCAAGCCCTTGGTAATGGACTGGCCTGTCTCACCAGTTGCTCCAATGATGACGACCTTCATCTTGATATTAGGCTCGAAAGAGTTTGAGAACGTGTACTCCGAGAAAATTGACAATGTGACTAAGAGGTAAATTGGAATGAGTAGTGAGAAGATTATTCGGCAGGCGGCTGCCAAAGCTTATATGGGCAGGATGGTATAGGTCCGAAAAACGCATTACAAATGAAGTCCAACCGCAGCTCAAAGCAGATGCGCTCATTGACGACTGGAGACCCGAGTCATGCCATTAGCTGTCACAGTGTCATAACGCTTACTTAGCACAATATGCTTGATATCCTGGAGAGTAATGGAATCGAACCTAACTCCGCTAATTTCCGATTCCTCTCTCCAACACTGCACACCGCACTTCATCCATCTAACGGAGTTAAAAGTGCAAAACTCCGGTGCGGGCCGATGATTGGTAACCCGACGCTCGCGGACGCTTAAGGCTTAGTGTGCGCCGATGATATATGCAAATGGGCACACGCTTACAGTAGTTTTGTCCAGCTCGACCATACATTCCTCTGAAGAATCCCCAGCCCTTCTCCCCCCCGTACTCGGCGGGCTTGTGATTGAGGATTCTGCCTCGGCTAATAGATAATCGGATAGAGCTGTTAGCAATCTGTATAATCAACATCAAGGTTTCCAGAACACTGTCTATCTGACTAGTATCTGGCTGTCCGCTCCATCGAGGGCGAGTTGCTGCTCGCCCAGAGTCAAAGCTGTCTGTCTGACATTGCCGAAGTCCTCTACATAATCTGCCATGGGCTTCATCTCCCTCACACGGCATCTCGCATCTCAATGTGGAGCGCGTCGTCGCTGGGTCAACCTACGTTCCCTGGCCTTCCTCCGACTCAACATGTTCTTAGCTAGAAAGACTCACCAGCATGCCGTAAAAGTATATATATAACTGGCACAACGGATTTTTGACGGCGACGCGCACGTTAAGAGGTTAATGGCGACCATTATTAACTTTTTCTGACTAATAGTTTATCCAACAGGGAACCTAACTACCTAATTTGACACATCTGCTTCGAGGGTAGCTGGCTACATCCCAATCAAGGACAGATCTCCAGCGAGAGGCGCCGTTCGAATAGCGTTACGCTCAGCGATCTTCCAATCTTCTTGCCCGTCAAAAGTGCCCTTAAGAAGCTTATCTTGATAAATGCCCCAATTAGTCACACGTTTGCCTTCGTCCTCGCCCACGCCGAATATTTCGGCTCTGCAGTAAGTCGTGGCGTTGGCAGTTATTTCGCTCGTAACTTCGATGAGCTGCGTGGTTAGAGCATGTTGCGTTTGCAAGTTTCCAACCATGCCCTGTACTGCCGCCTTGATTGCTGTGGCCCCTTCGATGGTGCCGCCAGGCCCAGGGAATGTTACCTTAGCGTTGTCGAGGAAGGCATTTGAGAAGGTTTTCCAGTCTTTGAGATCGACGCCGATGCAGTAGCGTGCGATGGAATTGCGGATGAGTTCGTGGTCTGAAGTGGCTTGGACCATTGTGAATTGTTTTGTGGAGTTTGGCTACGTAAGTGGGTTGTAAATGTTGCAAAATGTTTCTCGTTCACAATGGATTGGCAAAATGTGCTGGCCTTCTTCAGTATTTGCGTAAACAGGAGGGAATGGAAATATAAGTAAGTGCTGTTAGAAAAAGGTTCTTCTACTATAACTTGGGAATCCTGCGTTAAAAAAGCCACGAGATCCTCAGGCGTCATATCCGCCAAGTCAGTGATGCTGCGGATTTACCGGCGTAATCAAATGACAGTCCATGGCTTACAAACACCAAGTGCTCGATGCAGCCCAGACCCGCAATTTGTCTACCTATTCGCATCTGCGCTGGCAATCAATTGGCGGAATCTACCATGACTCGCGCGAGATCTAAGCAATTTGTCTTCAACCAGGTTAAGTAAGCCGGGCTGCTCTCCGGGGATCCCTGGCTAAGCGTTGGCCCTGCCCGGTGTTCCGATTTGCTCCTCTAGCCCAGGTAGACAAATTGTGGAGTTGCAGCCCAGCTTACTTAACCTGGTTTCAAGTTACAAGTGGCGACTGATACATGGGCACCCGGGTGCCCATGTATCAGTCGCCGTTACAAGTAGGTAAGTTAGGTAATCTGTAGACAAATTGCGGGTCCGGACTACATTACAAGCTTGGTAAGTTATTTGATGAACGGATGAACTAATTAAGCCATGGACTGCCACTTGATTAAGCCAATAAATCCGCAGCATCACAGGTAGTCCGTCGCGGACTTGCGGACTTGCGGACATATAGTGTTTCAGGGTGAATTATGAAGATTTAGAGAGTTTTGGAACTATAAAATAAAGCGCCGTCCGCTATCCAATGGTCACGGTTCGTTTTTGTCACGTTATTTGATCATCTTACATCGCTCCTACTCCACTGACTACTCACTACTCTCCTTAACAATGGGATCTCTCCCTAAGCTTGCTGTGCCTAAGGGCTCCGCTGTCCTCGTGACTGGAGCAAACGGTCTCCTGGGCTCCCATATTGCTGATCAGTTCCTCACTTACGGATACAAGGTCCGTGGGACTGTTCGAGACCTAGAGAAGAGTTCATGGCTCGTCGATGTCTTTGAGAAGAACTATGGAAAGGGAAGCTTTGAATTATTCAAGGTTCCAGATATGGCCGTTGAATCCGCTTATAACGAGGCTGTAAAAGGTGGGCGACCTTAGCTGTGGTACGACTCTCTTTGCTAAACAATCTAGGCATCTCTATCGTAGCTCACTCGGCATCCACCCTAACCTTTGACCACAACCCCCACAATGTCATTCCTGACGCCATTGCTGGTGCTATCAATGCCCTGAAAGCCGCTCACGCCGAGTCCAGTGTGAAGCGTTTCGTATTCACTTCGTCGTCGGCCGCTGCTCTTCTCTCAAATATCGACGCGCCTGGCATAAAGGTAACAGGGGAGACGTGGAACGAAGAATCAGTTAAAGAAGCATGGGCAAACCCCCCGTATACTCCCGAGCGAGCTGCTTCTGTTTATTCTGCTAGCAAGACCCAGGCGGAGCAGGAAGTTTGGAAATATCACAAGGAGCATCAGAACGAGCGTCCTGATCTTGTGGTCAATACTGGTACGTCGTGTCGATAAGATTTACTGCTTCTCACCAGCTAACACTCTCCAAGTGCTACCTAACGTGAACTTTGGAAAGTCCGTCGATCCCGTTCACCAAGGCTTTCCCAGCAGTGCTGCAATGCCCACCTTGTTGTACAAGGGACAGGTTGTTGACTTCCACCACATGGTTCCTCGACGTATGTTCCAATGTTTCTTCTGGGCTGATCCCAAACTGATTGTCTATTCGTAGAATACTTCATCGATACGCAAGATACTGGTAGACTGCATGTTGCCGCCGGTATCTTTGAACATGTACAAGGCCAACGCATTTTTGGAATGGCTTATCCTTTCAGCTGGGATTCGATCCTCGAAATCCTACGAAAGATTGAGCCGGAGAAGACATTCCCCGAGAACTTCTCAGGTGGAGAAGATCCGAACGAAATCGAGCCCCGCGATAAGGCAGAGCAGCTCCTCCGTGAGCTCGGCCGTCCCGGGTGGACGACCTTGGAGGAGTCAATCCGGGGTACCGTCGAGGGCCTGCAGCTGGCCGAGAAAGCTGCCTCCGCTTAAAGGAATTGAATGGTTAATGGATTATGGAGAAATCGAAGTGATTGAGAAAGATGTCGGGATATTATAAATTGCTGAGTGCTGGCCTGATTTTCTAGTTATAGACAAGAAGGATTGATATAAACAACACCCGACGTCGCGTCCGGGAGTGCAAGAATTCCCGAAAGAACGCACCATAGGTGTAGTAACGATTATCCCGCAGCTTTCCATAGAACCCAACACTACGCTGGAGGGGTCTTAGACCAATCAGACAAAATCCGCGGCAAAGTTAAAAGTTAAATGCATCGGATCGCGTCCGAAGAGGGAGGATCAACAGCTGCATCTATAGGGCAGGATGCGAAGTGCACCCCCCCTGTGTGCAGCTCCTCAAGTATCACTAACGCTTGGTTCCCTCAATCTACTCTGATCGCTACGCCTCATTGTATCTTGGATATCACCTAACGCAACTGACTCAACGCTCAGTAATTGATACGCCTGACCGTTCTGTTGACATAGACCCCTGGTCCATCCCTTCGGAATCCAGTTCAACCTACCCTATACCCTGTACAGGTCAGTCCTTGAACAAGACCATGACAACTTGACCGAACTGGCCCCGGCTGCAGCAAGAGCTCCGGCAACACTTTCACCAATCCCCATGGAAGCCCCGGTCTGTTCGCCGACTTAGCCAATGCAGTATGAGCTCGAGGTTGTCACGACAGAAGCAGGGATGGAAATGGATTATTATAGAGAACATGAAATGTTCTGTTGCTTATTAATTGTCTTTAGTTTGAGATACACGGGGCTTGCGGCGGCGATGCTAGAGACCTTTTTCGCTCTGTACCTGGCGGTACTTTTGACGCTCAATATGCCAGTAAGCGTCGCTGAAAACTGCAGCGAGGTATAAGTGGAATCTGTTTGAAGTCTGGAATAGCTTGCTGGTTGATACATCCTCGTGCATCATGTACAATCAAGCGTTTTCCATGTGTTCAACATCCCCTGTGCCCTTGACTGTCCTAGCTGCGTTCTCCGAGATGACAGCTGCTTCAATGCCGTCAAAAACAATTGCCATCTCCTCCAGAGAGTGGCCCATTGTCTCGGGGTAGAAGAAGTAAATAGTCACTGTGATAATCAACAAGATGACGGCAAAAACGATGTAGTATTTCCAGCCAATGGCATCCAGGGCGATGGGGTTGACGAAGATGTTGAAGAAGATAGCGGAGGCAGTTGACAGCTGCGTTAAAGCAACACCACGAGCTCGCAGTTGATAAGGCCAGATCTCGGCAGGATAAGCTACCACAAGCGGTGTGCTGGGTTCGGAAGTTAGAAAGGGAACAATTCAACCCAAAGGAATAGAATCTCACTTACAAAGCGATATCATAGAAAGCAAAGTAGATGTACAGGAAGGGCACCACGGCCAAGCCCACAGAGCTCGCACCAGTCATTGCAAAGCTACCTGACAGGCCCGAGATGACGATGTAGCTGACAAGCATGCCGACCGAGCTGATCAAGAATAGCGGACGGCGACCAACCCTGTCAACGTTCAAGGCGGCCAGCACGGCGAAGAAGAGATTCCAGATCTGCAGACATCCGCTGATGAGTGTCTGATGTGTGACGGACGTGATGCCAACGGTCTGGAGCACGAGAGCAAGATAGTAAGACACGACGCCAACACCGTTCCACTGGGTAAAGACGCCGAGGGTCATGGAGATGAAGGCACGGTGGCGGTTGCCCTTGGTAGAGAAGAGGTCCATCCAGGATGTGCTGTTTGCTGCGGTGGTGTCGGCCTCGATGGCGTTCTCGACCTCGGAAATCTCGAAATCAACAAGACGGGAGCTTTCATCGCCGCCAGCATGGAACTTGGTCAGGATCTCTCGAGCCTTGGAAGATTGGCCTATGGAGACGAGATATCGAGGAGATTCAGGGATCCAAATGGCTGCGGGAAGTACGAGGATGGGGACAGCGATCTGCAGGATCGAGGGGATGCGCCACGCCCAATCATCCGCATAGTTTCGGGTCGCAAAGGTGGCCCATGCCGCTACTGCGGATCCGACGTACCATCCACAGTTGTATAGAGCCGTGAGAAGAGCTCTGTGTGGGGGATATGCCAACTCAGTGATGAGAAGAGGCGCAAGTGAACCCCACCAGGCGCTGGGCTGGCCAAGGAAGAATCGGCCGACTACAAAGCCGGCAATGTTGGGGGTGAAGGTTTGAAGTAGGGCACCGAGCAGGAGGAAGAAGAAGCCGATGTAAAGGCCCTTCTTACGACCCCAACGGTTGGCAAAGTAAGCAATGAAGGGGTAGGTGAGTGTCGAGGACAGAGCTTGAACGGCGTTAATGAAGCCCAGCCAAGCACCCTTGGGATGGTCCATAAATTCGAACCATTGAGGGAGTGCCATTAACCCGTTCATCATGCTTCCATCATAACCGTTTGCAGCAGAGAGCAAACACATGCAAAGGGCGAAGTAGTTGAGGAGTAGAAGATGTTTTTTGGTGTACCAGGGTTGGCCGTTGTCAGGGAGGAGTTGGGCCAAGTCGTCGCCAATGGCGGACTTTTTGGGGCCTTTGTTCTTCGAATTGCGCAACATGGCGGGGGAGATGATGAACAGGTGTTGAGACGAAACGGTCGGCCAGTATTGAAAGGGCAGTAGAGTTGCCCAGTGAATGGTGTTGGTTGATAAGGAGATTGGGACGGGGAGGTGGTATTTGTAGTTGCGTCGTTGACGCGGGTCTTCTCCGACCACCACGGTTACGGCTGTTGTCTCCTACACTCAGAGGTTCCAAGATTGATCACGACTCCACGAGACACAGCTGAGTATGGGGAAAGATCGAGACTGGGGTTAAGTGTGGGGGAACCTGGGGTAGCCGCGGAGTCTCGGAATTACAGAATTTACAAGGAGGACATGAACTCGGCACAATTAGCACGACCATGAGCCCATCAGGGCGCAGCGCCCAACCTACGCGGGCTTAGGGTGCTTTGATTGATTGAACGAAATACGAAGCTGATTTTGCATTTTGACCACCTGTAACTGCCAGCACTCCCGCCGTCGGTCACTTGTGTTTGTTTTGGTGTTATTGGTACCATACCAAACATTCAAGGAAGCGATCGGGAGTCGTGAGTAACATTGAGACTGGTCAGATTAAATCAGTGGCCCAAGTTCAAACCACTTATGGGCGACTCATCACTGCATGAAGCTTTCCAGGATTCGCATGGCCTGAGATGTGCCCGGGGACTCATCTTCGTAGAATCGCACCTTGTTCGATATACCGACAACACATGCTCGTCCATTCCGCTCCAGAAGTCATTGTCATTGTGCCTCAATTCACCACAGTCAAAATACAGAGTGAGCAAGTCACGGATGTTCGGGTCCCGGACCAAATACCGTGGTATCGACGCGGCATGGGTTCTCCTGAGATACCACGGATGTGCCAGACCACCGCCTTGTCTACGAGTGACTATTCCATCCATCCTGCCCCCTGGACATGGGAAGCATTCAAGATTTTGTTTTCGATTCTCCGGAGCGCCATCTTGATCAATTACTCAGTAGTAACAATACCAGCTCTCCTACTGACGCTGATTGACGGAACTTCTACGTAGTAGTTGATGGCGGCTGAGAGCGGGTTGCTTGGATCCATCGCCTTGCAAGTCTGGAACGGTCGATCTGTAATCTCGGGGCTGGGCGCATCCATGTCAAGGGGCCGAGGGATGCATGTCCAGGTAATTGGAAGCTGCCCAGGAACTGCTGGGAAGGCCCATCTCAGCATGAAGTGTACACTCGAATTTGGAATAGCTCAGGTACATGCACTTAGACTGCTGTTCTAAACGTCGGCGCTTCGCAGGACGGGGCGCTGTTGGTCGACTTGGAGCTTCTACGGGTCTGACATTGGCGAGTTGCATGGTGTACATGAGATACACGCCAGACAGACAGTGGCATTGAGGTGCAAGCAAACCCTTTCTGAAGTAGGCCCGGTCTCCGACGTGCCAGGTTGTACGTGGTAGTATATATGTCTCTCCTCTTTGGGGGTCATAGGCCTGTGGCTTCAGCGACGTGTCAGGACGGGGATTAGTGACTGAGGCCCTCCGTCTGGTAACGACTGCGCCATGCATCCGGGGAAACAAGCAAGAAGTTGGCGATGTAAGCCAAACAAGACATATACGGAGGCTGTGGCCGTGGGATGGGAGGAGATCAGCTGGCCACTAGAATGAGAGACCGAGTCCCCACTTCAACTCATAAGTTGCGACCAGATGATGTCCGCGTCGAGAACGGGTTCTAGATGTGAACGAAGCCGAGGACTGGGGGATACTCTGCGCTAGCCACACATCGCCTCCGCTGAAACCAATCCTTGTCGAACGACTTTGGAAGTGGCAAGTTGGGACCCATGCTAGCGGCCATTGCTTTTCGGCTAGTTCGGCGCAAAAAGAAGGCTGGCTGGCTGGTTCAAAAGCGGAGAAATGGAGACTGGAGACTTGCCCCGCGTTTGAACTAGCTGGAGAGAGAGAAGATGGAGGAGTGGTCTCCCGCACTCATCAGCCGCAACATGCTCGCGGAGTCCCGGAGCATTGACGGGGGACGATCCGAGGCAGCGGGGCTGGCTCGCAGCCTCTCGTCGCATAATTAGCATAATTAGCAAGGCCTAGGTTCCCTCCCAGAAGCAATAGGCCTAGTGTAAGCCCACTTGTTTTACTTCTTCCTTGTACAAGCTTGAGATGGTCAATCGACCGTTCTAACAGCCTAGAATACAGTTCGTTAGACTACAGGTTAGGGTAAAGCGGCTGCACCCAGATGGAGGCATGGATACTCCTGTTTCCTATCCGTAATCGATAATCGATTACTTATCAATCTTTGACGAGGTGCATTTATGATTTATGGTCGATTCGGCCCGGATAAACGAACAACTGCCCTATTATTATTACGTACTAGCTGACTTGGTTCGCGGTGCCCGGGCAGATGTGCTCACTGAGGACTAGCACCATCTGTAACCTGCTGACATCCACCACCTTTAGACTCTGGACTAAATACGTATACGCATACGCATACGTATATGCACACGCATGTACGCGCATGCCATCATTTACATAGCACTGCGATTTGACCAAGCGACATTGGGTCGCTCAGTACATCCATCCCCCTTCACTTCTCCCTCGTCCGGCTCCTTCACGCCCCTCTCCCTCTCTCACTGTCCTACTGCTTCCCCCTCCCATCCCGGGCCCATCTTTGACGCACTAATTACAGTCTACGTGTTGAAGCCGAATAAGGTGGTCCGATCTGCTGGTGACTGGGATGTGGATACCATGGACTGAGCTGTGCTCCTCACACGGATGCAGAACTCAGACCTTTAATATGATCTGTAACCTTTTTTGCTTTATCACTACGGTACTAATTACTGTGTTGGTGGGTGCTAGTTAGCATCCACCCCCGTCAAGGCTGCGCCAGGCCGTCCACTTCCCAATGCATTTGGGATTCTGATTGGTACCCAACTTCGATAAGTGGCCATCTCACGCGTTCGCTCCTCCATCCACCGCCCAGGTCGCGCCAGTGACGTAGCCCGCTTCCTCGCCCAAGAGGAAGATGATAACGTTGGCTACCTCTGTCGATTCTCCGAGACGACCCATCGGCACATCGGGAGCCGTGCCCTCACCACCGTGCTCCTGGTTTCCACGAAGCATCGGCGTGTCGATCGGCCCACTACGGTTTGTATAGATGGTTAGGTTGTATCCTTTGGCACTGCGGCGGGTGGTGATGGCCACGGGAAGAAGACATTGAACTCACGGCGTCACGATGTTGACTCGAATGCCTCGTTTGGCTGCCTCCACGGCGGCGCTCTTGACCAGACCGATGCCTGCGTGTTTGCTGGCGCTGTAGACGCTGCCCTTGGGGAACGCGCGCTCGCCGTACATGCTCGATACGTGCACGATGCTCCCGAGCTCTTCCATCACGCCGGGCTTGAGGGTTTCGCTGAGTACGTTGAAAGCGCCTCGGAAGTTGATGCCCATGACGAAATCGTACTGCTCGTCGCTGATCTCCCAGACTTCTTCGTGGCCAAGCCTGCGGCCTGCTGTTCCGGCAATGTTGGCGCATCCGTCGATTCTCCCCAGCTTTTGCTTTGCAGCAGACACAAAGGACCTGATAGCCGCGCGGTCGGTTATGTCAACGTTGCGTACAAACACTTTCGTCTTCTCGCTTTCCGGGACTTCTTCCAGAAATTTAGACAGTCCGGCCTCGTTGATGTCACACAGAGCCACCAGTGCGCCGCGGCCGAGTAAAGCCTTTGCAGTTGAAAGGCCGATGCCGGACGCACCGCCGGTGATGAGATAGACTTTGCCGGAAAAAGAGGAAGACATGGCCGGTTTATGAGGTGTTGACAGTAAAATGTGACTGGGAGAATGGGGACTTTGGAGAGTAAAATCGTGGGCCGCTTCATAGTCTATTATAGATACCAAGATACCGCAGCATCACATCTTAAGGACTTGTCGTTATGTGGGTCGTCGAATACCGAGACTCCGCGAGAAGGTTGTGTCGGACTTCAGCCAGCCCACCGGCTCTCTTGTTGCAGCGTCCAGTCTCAGCAACAGAGGTGGGTCACGAAGGAAAGTCATTTGTCATCGAACCAAATTTGTCAGATGTCGTAACTATGCATTGGTCCAGCAAGTAGGTCTAGCTAGAAGAATTAAGGCATATTTTTCACACATGCCCGTTCCCTAGTGGTGTTTATACCCCTGCCTCACAACATGAGCGTCAAGGTTAAAGGGACCGCAGGTATCCCGCCTTCTGTGAGGATTTTCTCCTCCATCCCCTGCACACATTCAGGTACCAACAATACCACTATACTAGCCTCGACCATATCCAATACGGCTGCCGTCAACATGACTTCATCTACTGCTCAAGCCTGGCGAATTCACCTCAATTACCAAGGCGCCTACACGGCTGCGGGTATCGAAAGCAACCTACATTTGGAGGAAGTACCGAAGCCCGTTGCAAAAGAGGGCCAGATTCTGGTTCGCATGCAAGCCGCTGCGCTCAACTTCCGCGATCTGCTTATAGCAACGGCCGATCCCAGATATGAAAGCCCACCAGCAGATGACGGGTTGACGCCCTTGTGCGACGGAGCAGGCGAGGTGGTCGAGGTGCGTGTCAAAGGCTCTCGCTGGAAAGTCGGAGACAAGGTGATCCTGGCAAGCAACACGACGTGGAAAGCCGGGCTTGGGCAGGAATCGCTTGACCACAGCCTTGGCTGGGGCACCGAAACGACAAACGGCCTGCTTCAGCAGTACTTTGCTTTCGTGGAGGATGCACTTGCTCCTTTGCCGGCGAACCTGAGCTACGAAGAGGGTGCTTGCTTGGCCGTGCCCTACGTTACGGCTTGGAACGCCCTGTTTGGCGGCCCGAGTGTGCTGAAAGCAGGAGATACGATTGTGACCCAGGGCACTGGTGGTGTGAGCATTGCGGCACTCCAGGTAAGTGATTGTCCTTTGCTGGGAGAGGACTGGCCGAATAACCCGTGGATGATAAGATGTCGAGAGCTATCGGCGCCAAGGTCATCGCTCTCACAACATCTGAAGATAAAATAGACCTGCTGCGGAAGCTGGGTGCGTCGCACGTCATCAATTCCAAAGTGGACAAGAAGTGGGCCGACCAAGTCCTCAAATTCACTGATGGACGCGGGGCAGACCACCTGCTCGAAGTCATCGGAGCAGCAACCATCAAGGAGTCGCTCCGCGCTGTTCGGCAAGCCGGCGTAGTCTCCGTCGTGGGTTTCTTATCGGAAAGTGAGAAGCACGATCTCATCCCCGACATTGTTTTCGGAGCCAAGACGAGTAAGCTTGTGGAATCCCCAAAAACGTTCTTGGAAGTAGCATCACTGACACATGTGTCTTCAGTTCGTGGCTTAATGAATGGCAGTCTTGGAATGCTCCAGGACATGTCCAAATTTGTGGAGCATCACAAAATACACCCTGTCATCGCAGAGGTGTTTGGGTGGCAAAACGCGAAAGACGCATACAAGGCACTGATAGAGCAAAAGTTCGTCGGAAAACTAGTTATCAAGATAGATTAGTGTCACATTCAATATACGCCGAGAAGTCACTACGCATTAGCGGAGGATCATCCCCTTTCGCTGTAGTAGGCAATGCGACAATTATACTACCTTGAGCTTGTGGCTGCTTGTTCGAACAACCCCTAGCCAGTTGCGAGGATCAGTGACAAAAGAGTAAGAATACAGTAAGAGTTTTAACAGGAACTCGATTTCCCTTGCCAGAATCCATAGCTGCATATAGAAATTGACTACCACCATGACCCCCCTCTCCGCCCTCACTTCGCCACCTCCACCTGTGCCCAACGTTCTCATCACATTTCCAATCCCTCATGTCACGACAAGGTCAACAATAATGCATCCTCGCAGCTTTGGTTGAGACTGCCGACACAACGCAACCGAGGAAGTCCCCTGCTAGGGTCAGTATATCTCACCAAAGCTGGCCGAGGCGAGGGCTAACTTGAGGTGTGGTGGCTTACCCAACATTGGGACCACCGATGGACAAAATGTGGAGAGGGCACTAATCCGAGGTAAAAGGGCGGAATATTTCTACGGACCCCAATCTTGCTCATAGACCTCCAGGCTACCACGGCTAGTTTGGAGAGCAGTTATCACGGAGTCATGCCTGAGTTAGTCATGGCCGAGTTTATGCCCTTGAAGAACCGACCCAACGCCAAAGTTCCCGCGGGGAGGCTCAGGAAAGAATATACTTGCCTCATTGCATTAACTACTGGATGACTGACTTGATCGTACGCTACAGGGGGCGTTGGCAGAATTCGCATGCCCCTTGGTTAATTCCACGCGGCATGGGAGATATTATCATCTCAGGCCTACACTCCTACCCCCGTTTTGTATGGGCTCCATGGTTTCCAGGTACTCCTGGATGATCCGAATGGACCGGTCAACTGTGGGGACCTCACTCTCCCAGTATCGCATCGTGTCAATACACAAATCAACGGATTCTCTCCAGCCGGGAGGCATGGTGATGGCCCCGCACCTGGCGGCGGCGAGAATGCAAAAAACAGACGCAGTTGACTCTCGGAGACCATACCATGTACCATGAGTCCGATGTCGGTTCGTCCCAAGCTTGAGCATGCGGAGGCCGAAGATGAGCGCCTTGTCCGCGAGATGCTGGGCCGCGCTGCGATACGGCGCATCGGGTCGACTATGGATGGCGTAGTACAGGAACGGCCGGTAGAGCCACCCTTTGATTTCCACAACGCGGCCTTCGACGAGGGAAGGGAGCTCCCCCGTGGGCACCTCGTCGTGGATGAAGCGGATGAGGCTCGGTAGGGTGCTGTACCTTGTTGTTTGGAAAATGTCAGCCCTGCCGTCGATTCATGCCCATGGGGGGTATCTACCGTACCATTCGTCGAACTTGGCTTCAAACTCTTCAGCTGTCTTCAACAGGAAAGGCATGGCCTCGCTATTCCAGCTCGTGTGGTCCCCAGCATACATGATGTTGCAAATTCGATTCCCCAGGCGACGCAAGGTTATCTCAGTAAGGTAGTAGTACCATGACTGCTCTTCATGGTCAAATGTCCTTCGGGTACCGAAAGGTGGCGTCGATTCGTGGCAAGGAGAAGGGACGTCATTCCGAATGTGCTGAGCGAAGGTCTCTGGAGGTTCGGGATGCAGATCGGGGTAATCTAGGTCCGACAAGCAGCTGTTGGGAAGGTTCAATTCAATGCGCAGTTCACACTCGGATTTATAGCAGCTCCAGTAGATCCTCTGCTGCAGACTCCTGCGCCTAGAAGCGGCAATCCCGGACTCACAGTGTCGACGGGCATCGCACATCAGATAAACGTGGCAGGCTCTGGAAGCGGAGTGAAACTGGGACCACGCCTTCAGAGGCGCCATGGTGTACATGGTGTACACACCGGCCAGGAAATGGCACTGAGGAGCGAGAATGCCCGTCTCCAGCAAGCCAAACCTTCGACGGGCCAGCGTGTAGTATGCGTTCGCCCTCCGCAGCGTCTCAGCATCCGCTTCTCTAGATGTAGGCATCCTAGGCCAGGGATCTGGGGGAGATGGGGACTCGTGAATGACAAAGGGAGGAGCAATACATCCGAGGGCACACACGAGAAGCTAGGTGATGTTATTGGTCAGAGACTGGCCAGCTGCTACCGTTGTTGAAGGGAACTCACGACGAGACATGTGGCTGAATCCCAAGTCAGACCGACTTCGGCCACTCGATCAACGTACATCCAGAGGGTATCCACATCCAGGATAGGGTTTTTAGAGTGAACAAAGGCCAGGAATCGCTCCACAAGCCCGGGGATTTCGTCTTCGTTGATGCCGTATGCGAAATCCTTGCCGAACCCCTGCCAGCCGCGCATGCGATGTGCTGCCGGCTCCTCGGGTTCGAGGTCTCTGTCGACTAGTTCGGCTTCAAAAACAGCGTCTGTGAGATGGTGGAGCGGATACCGACTCTCCAGGATGGGCCATGCAAGAACGGCATCGGGGTTCGTCTGTTGCGGTGGGATTCGCATGTCGTCGATGTCGACCTGCTTCGACTGCCTCGACTGCTTCAAGGCTGCTGCTTCGGGGATGTTCGGAGCCTGATGTGGAGGCGGTGGCCCTGTCTCCTGGCCCGTCTCCTGGCCGGTTGCCCAGATATGCTCGAGCCCCGGAAGCGACTCGGGGGGCTGGTTCAGGCGCGCTAGGATCTGGTTCAAGCGGTTTACGATCATGATGCTGGCGGGATCGAAGCTAGGGGGGGACTTTGCGTCAACTACATGCACGAACGGTCATCGGAGCAAGAATCATATGGGCGCTGTCACATACTTGGACATGTCCTCCACGTCCTCATAAACGCACTGAGCGTTGGAAGTCGTGCAACTCCCACATGAGGGACGAGCATTGTTGCACTTGACCTTTCTGGCACGACAGAGGCGGCAAGCAGCCAGGGCTCGCTTCCTGGGGTATGCGGTGATGGCCCTCGAGCTCCTGGTGCGTGGGCGCTTGGGGGCGGGTTGCGACGAGGCCAGGGGTTCATGGTCAGCAGCGAAGTTCTGCGGGCTGCCTGTAGGATCAACAAGGGCGGAACCAAAGCCACCGTCGAGACTATTGGATGTCGCAGACGCGCTGTGGTTTGGGCTTGGGTTGGACATATTGCCGTTCTCTCACCTGTGTACCTACTCTCTCGCCGCGATGTCCGAGACGACGCGTCGACGCTCCGTGCAGAGAGAGTCTCGTGGGGATGTGCGGGGAGACTCCGGAACGGAGTACGATGTCAACGGTAGACTCAGACGAGAAGCGAGAGGGACGCGGAGACCCGGCCTTATGATTCAAGAGTGGGGGGAGGGATGCCAGGTACCCAATCTTGTAACCCCGGGCTGAATTAGTACTAAGAGGACTAAGTTAAGTTTATTAGTCACAGAGCGGATCCCACGATCAACCCCAGGAGTGGGTGGTGGGCAAGGCAAGCTGCTGCTACCGGGTACGTACTATGCAGCAACATCCCTTGCTCGTGTTTTCCGGGACTCCGCGGTCATGGCCTAACAGCACGCCCGCCACTCTCTACCGTGGCACTACGAGGGATTCTTTAGGCATTGCACTAGTTGTACCCTACTTACGCCGGGTCTAGGATCTAGGACCCATGCTTCGGCCAAGACTTGCTGCTGGTGAGGATCTTCAATCATTCCCGGCGTGTATTAGTTTGAATGACTCGAAGACTGCCGGGCGAATGGCCGAATACCCCCGTGTGGGGCCAGGGACAGAATGTTAGCCGTACTGGCTTAAGTCGGGCTGGCCGACGTCTGAGTCGTCATTTTAGGTGTAGGCTTCGGAGAAATCGCATACGGGGTAGTAGCTACCCCAAACCAACTGAAATCGCACAACCCAGGGGTCTAGGTCTCCTTACCGAGGGGGGCGCGTCGAGGGCCGTGTTACTTGATGAAAGAGTAGCACTAGGGCAAATCAAGCCAGTACAGCATTGCCCTCGACGACGCGACTTGCCAAGATAATCTCTATTTGCCATTGCCGAGCTTAAGTCCGTTACTGGCAGAAACCTGGCTAGACGGGACATCCGCGGGGGCGGCAAGACCCCATGCATGCATGCGATTCAACGACGTACCAACTTTTCAATGAGGCCCAATGAGACCCACCATCCGGGGAATTCATAAAGGTCTAAGCCTGCCATTCTGTTGCTATCCATTCTTCTGCTGTACACCAGCTTTTCCAATCGTTCGCACTCGGAGCCTACCTCAGGTGTTGCTCTTCTTTTCTTCATCAAATCAAATCCCCCTCCACCCCAACCCCCGTCATCGATTCGAACAGCACGAGACGAGCCCGGCCGCGGTTCTTTCTCTCTCGCCAAAGTCATGGCGCTCAACGATCGGGGTGACGGCCGGTGGGGAGAGAACCATGACGGCAACATATCTGTGTCGGCGGCCCTCGACGAATTCCATACTCTTGAGCGGGAACTCACGGCGCGGACACGACGCTCAGAAGCCGACGCCAAACAGAGACCTTCGCACGGCGCTGTGACAGAGCATTCGGGAACAGAGGTTGTCGATGCTACAGAAACCGACCTGCCTGGATTTCTGCGCCGTGGCCTCGTGGCCGGTCGGACGCCAGATGGGGAGCCCAGCAAGCAGCTCGGCGTGTCATTCAAAAACCTCACCGTCAGGGGCACTAAGCCCGCCAACGTGTCCGTCAAGACCTTGCCCCGAGCCATCTTGAATACGTTTGGTCCGGATCTCTGGAACTTCGTTCGAAAACACGCCGGATTCAACACCCCAAGCCAGGAGCAGACTTTTGAGATCATCCGCGATTTCTCTGGTACTGTTCGCCACGGCGAGATCCTGCTTGTGCTGGGTCGTCCTGGGTCGGGCTGTTCAACCCTCCTCAAAACAATATCGAATCTTAGGGCCGAGTATTCCAGGGTGGAAGGCCAAGTTTTCTACGGCGCCATGTCTGCCAAAGACCAGGAACGACAGTTTAGGGGCGAGGTGGTCTATTGCGAAGAGGATGACCAGCACTTCCCTTCGCTCACTGTTTGGCAGACGCTCTGGTTCGCCATGAAGAACAAGACGAAGAAGAGAGAGGAATGGATTATTCCGCCTGTAATTGACTCTCTACTTCAGATGTTCGGCATCCACCATACCAAGGACACATTAGTTGGAGACGCACACGTTCGGGGAGTGTCCGGGGGAGAAAGGAAGCGGGTGAGTCTCGCCGAGACCTTTGCCACGAATGCCTCAGTTGTGTGCTGGGACAACTCCACCCGTGGACTGGATGCGAGCACCGCATTAAAGTTTGCGAAATCTCTCCGTGTGTACACTGATGTCACCGGAAAAACGACACTCGTAACTCTCTACCAGGCCGGCGAGTCGATTTACGAGCTGGTTGATAAGGTCTTGGTTATGGATGAGGGGCGAATGCTCTTCCAAGGGCCAGCCAAAGAGGCGAAGAAGTACTTTGAGGACTTGGGTTTCTGGTGTCCCTTGCGACAGTAAGGCCCTTCTCTTATCTTTCGCCTTGCGAATCTGCAACTAATTAATCTGAGCAGGAATACCCCGGACTTCTTGACGTCTGTTGCTGACAGGTCTGCCCGTCGCTTTCAGCCTGGGTGTGAAGAGACAGGCCCCAAAACCCCACAGGCCCTCGAGCAGGCATTTCGTAACAGCCTTCACTACCAGCGACTCCTCGAAGACCTCAAGGCGTATGAGCTCGAGGGCAACGACTCAGGCAACGAGAAGCAGGCACTCTTTGAAGCCACTGTGCACGAATCAAAGTCAAAGCACGTTACGTCTTCATCTCCCTACACAGTCTCATACGCACGCCAAGTCATGGCTGCTCTACAGCGGCAGATCTGGCTCTTCTACCACGAGCGCACCTCCTTCTACACCAAGTTCATTATCATCGTTGTCAACTCCATTATCGTCGGCTCCCTCTTTGCCGAGACAGATCCAACTTCTACCTCTTCCGCATTTTCCAAGACTAGCATGGCCTTTTTTGCCATTGCATTTATCGGCTGGCTCCAATTTAGCGAACTCCTTCCTGCTATTACCGGCCGCGCCACCATTAAGCGCCAGCAGTCCTTTGCCTTTTATCGGCCATCGGCCGTTGTTATAGCAAGAGCTATCATTGACATTCCCGTTCTGTTTGTTTTAGTTTTATTCTTTTCTATTCCTTTCTACTTTATATCGAAGCTGGACTATAATGCTGGCAAGTTTTGGGTGTTTTTTCTGACGGTTTATTCCGCATCATATTCCATCACGGCCATGTTCCGCATGCTTGCTGCGTTTTCTACCACGGTGGATGACGCCATTCGCTGGGTCGGTGTCTGTAAGTGTCTTCCATTCCTTACCATCTATATATGCCGGCAACCGGACTGACTGATAGCAGTTCTGAACATAATGTTTATATGCACTGGATACGTAATTTCTCGCAACCAGCTCCTCAGCCAAGTTCCCTGGTTCGGCTGGATTAGCTATGCCAACCCGATTGCATATGGGTTCGAAATGGTTCTGGTCAATGAGTTTGACGGAAGCGAGATGGCTTGCAGCGAGGCGCACCTTGTCCCACGAGGACCTGGCGCACAAGGAGGGTATCAAGGATGCAGTCTTCCTGGGTCACAAATAGGGAGCACCACTGTTTCTGGTGATGCTTACCTGCAGACGAGTTTTGACTTGTAAGTTTCCGCACTCCAAGAAAAGAATGAGCGGGTATTGACCCTTGTCTCGTGACAGCCAACGATCCAACCTCTGGCGAAACTTTGCCATCATCCTTGCCTTCGCTGTCCTTTTCCTTGTCGTCAATGTTCTCGTCATCGACCGATCCAAATACGAGAGCTCGAGTGCCCAATCTCTGGTCTTCGCGAAGCCGCCGACAACCAAGAAGCGTACCCAGGATGCCAAATCTCTGGCCAAGCAGGCCCCCGCCGTTGAGAAGGTCCAGGACGCCGGCGTCTTCACATTCAAGGACATCACATATACCATCCCGTATAACGGTCAGCAACGACGTCTCTTGGACAATGTTTCGGGCTATGCCGTGCCTGGCAAGATGATCGCCCTCATGGGTAGCTCAGGATCGGGGAAGACGACACTCTTGAACACACTTGCTCAGAGACAGAGAGTTGGCGTTGTGTCTGGTGACATTCTTGTTAACGGCTCTCCACTGAGCGAGAACTTCAAACGGGCTACTGGGTTTTGCGAACAACAGGATATCCATGAAGGATCGGCGACTATCCGCGAAGCGCTAGAGTTCTCAGCTCTCTTGCGACAGGAGAGGCATATTTCTTCGGCAGAAAAGATTGCCTATGTTGACGAAATCATGAACCTCTTGGAGCTGGACGACATGGACAACGCCCTAATCTCTTCTCTCACTGTTGAACAGCGCAAGCGCGTCACCATTGGTGTTGAGCTCGGTACGTTGCCTGTCAATACGAGCCATTTATTATTTAACTAACCTTCTACAGCCGCGAAACCCTCCTTCCTCTTGTTCCTAGATGAGCCTACCACTGGCCTCGATAGCCAGTCTGCATTCTCGATTGTCCGCTTCCTCCGCAAGCTCTGCGACGTAGGCCAGGCTATCATTTGTACCATTCACCAGCCATCTTCAGATCTCATCGAACAGTTTGATATGATCCTTGCTATGAACCCGGGGGGTAGAACCTTTTACTTTGGGCCAGTGGGAGAGAACGGCTCTCAAGTTGTGGACTACTTTGCCGCGCGTGGATTCCAATGCGCCCCGAACCAGAATGTCGCCGAATTTATTCTGGAGACTGCGGCCCAGCCCCTAGACAACGGCGATAAATCCGGCCTCAACTGGAACAAGGAGTGGCGCCACAGCAACGAGGCCAAGGCTGTCTTCGAAGATATTAACCGGTACAAGGCAGCAAAGACGACAGCCGCAACATCCGACAGGGAACAGACCAAGTTTACCGCGCCCACGTGGTACCAATGCGTCTTGCTCACGAAACGCATCTTCATCAAGAACTGGCGCGAGCCGAGTTACGTATACAGCCGTCTCTTCGTCCACGTCGTTCTCGGCATCACCAATGGTTTCGTAAGTCCATCCCCAGAAACGCGACCTGCCCGTCGTTTCTTCCCTACTTGCTTGAAATTGCACGCCATTCAAAGGTTCCAAGCTTACCTGCGCCACACAGATTTTCTGGGACCAGTCAAATACCGTCTCTTCCCTCCAAAACCGCATGTTCACCAATCTGGTCCTCGCCTTCTTCGTATCCCCCACGGTCGTCAACAGTAATGTGGCTAGCTTCTTCGACCGCCGGGATGTGTGGGAAGACCGCGAACTGCCAAGCTGTACGTATGGATGGGTGGCGTTCTGCACTGCCAACATCGTCACCGAGATCCCTATTTCCATCGTTGCAGCCACTGTATACTGGCTTCCCTCCTACTTTGCCGTTGGATTTCCTGCCAAGGCATCCATCTCCAGCTATAGCTACCTTATGTCGGTTCTGTGGTCTATGTTCACAGCAGGTTGGGGCCAGTGGATCGCGGCCTTTGGACCGACTTACAGTGTGGTTGCCAATGTAAGTTCCTCGAAAACAGTTACTTTCAATGAACTAACGCCTCCCAGATCATCCCCTTGTTCTTGGTTGTTGTCGCACTGTTCAACGGCATGTTTACGCCATTCTGGACCTTCCCTGCCTTTTGGAAATACTGGATATACTACGCCAACCCCCTAACGTGGTACTGCCGCGGTGTCCTCTCCGCCATCTTACCACAGGTCTCGGTTCAATGCGTAGACGCCGAGTTCGCGTATTTTGAGCCTCCTCCCGGCCAGACGTGTGGTGACTATGCAGGCCAATTCCTCCGGGACGTCGCTAATGGCGGATATCTCCAGGATGCCAATGCCACGTCCAACTGTCAATTCTGCCCATATAAAAATGGCGCCGAGTACATGGCCACCTTGAACGTACAGGCCGATGACAAGTGGCATTGTCTGGGTTACCTGGTTGCTTTTACGTTAGCCAATTGGTTTTTGGTCTACTTCTTTGTCTACACAACCAGGATTAAAGGCTGGACTTTTGGGGTTGGGCCCACCGCCAGGGTATTGAGGCGGTTGACACAGAAGGTGCTGCTAAAGAAGGAAAGGGTAAACCAGGACGCTCAGGTGTAGCTCCATAGTTGGTGCCCGAAAATCCGGGAGGGAAGATAGCTACCTTGGTATCTGGCTGTCCGCTCCATCGAGGGCGAGTTGCTTCTGGCACAGAGTAACAAAAACACAGTTTTGCAGCCTTTAGCAGACGTGTGACAGACAAGAATCGTGGCAATTCCTACTTACCTTGTGATCGGTCAAAGAGACCACCACATCGTGTTTTTGTACACGGAGACTTGCAGTAAGCGTACGAATAGGAAATTTTGATGAATTTCTACAGTCTACCAAGATAAAATGGTAGACCCCGTGAGCGGCGTACTTGAGGATGTGTTGAGACCGCATGACTAAGGTCCGATCTGCTGGTGGCTGGGATGTGGATACTACGTATCTGAACTCAACTGTGCTCGTCACAGGACACATAGCTTAGACCTTTCAATACCAGTCCCTGTTTGCTTTATCAGTTATGGCTGTTTGGGGTCGTCACCACCACACCGTCAATGGTCCGTGCGTATGGTTCGGCGTACTGTTGAAGGCCCTGATCGTTCATCATGCTTAGTTGGACCACGTCTCTCTTTCGTACGTTAAGTTGGAATATTTGCAGCTTAGTATGCACCACCCTGTTCACTTCGTGCCCGGCAGTTTCGGCTGAACGCTTCGTGCGGCCCTTCACAGATAGCACGTGACGGCTCTGTACCTGGCATTGCCTGTGCTGGTGTCCTTTCTGCGCGCACCTTCCGCATACCTGCTCTTTCTCACACGCGAATGCTTCGTGACCAATGTTCCAGCACTTGTAGCACTGGACTTGTCCTTGGCGCCGCTCAAAGACGTCGGTGCTGGCCGACTCCCTGGCCAGGTGGAAGTATCTCTCCTCGAGGAGTCGCTCCACGTCGTTTCCTTTCGTTACGTAGATCACCATTGATCCGTACATCTTGCCGTTCTCCCTATCGCTGAGCCAGTGGATCTTGGCAATCGTTACGTCGTTCTCCTTTCCTAATGCCTCTGCGGCTCCCGGTAGTTCGTTACCGGAAGAGTCCAATACTGCGGTGCGGTTTGCGCTGTCCACTTTGACCGGGTACAATTGGTCCCTGAACACCCTTGCTCCCTTGACTGCAGTCCTTTGTGCTGTCTCCCTCTAGCAAAGAAATCGCCCCCAAGCTTGTCTAGCCTCGGAATGATATCTTCGTCAGACCTATTGTCCGTATTGCCAGGCTCGAAGAATACAAAGAGCGGCGTTTCGCCCCAGTCATTGCGCCCATTTATGTGTACACCTCGTTCCACTAGGTCTTGGAATAAAACCAATTGAGCGGGAGCGTCGAGACTCGCAAGCCGATTAGGTGACGTCCATAGGTCGAAGCTGATGTGCACCGCCGTCAAGGCATCGCGCAGCTCCGTTTTGATGATATCCCACTTCGGCTCAAAGAGTTGCTCCAGCTCTCTGGCAATAGAACTGCCACTCCACGGCATCTGGAGCACTTATTTGTGGCCGAACTGATTGAAGAGATTCCGAGGAAAACTGTGCTCGAAGATTGTGAATGGTACATCGCATTGACGGCGAAGCCAAGCTTAGCTCTTGTATAGCTTTTATATTTGCCTTTTGTATGACGCTTTGTTCGAGCCGGCGCCGTCTGGGAGTTGTCGAAGAGGGGAGATCAATCGCGCTGTCATGCTGGGACTCGACTCGCTCGACTGGCTGGCTGGGGTGATCCGGTGAGCTCTATGCAAGTCAGCTTATGGATATCTCGTCAATAGGATCGAATGGGGCGAGCACATACTTGCGAAGATGATCTGCCGCAGAAGACGTGGCTTGTACCAAGAAGAGCTTAGCCACGCCTTTCATATCACACCGACTGCAGCACCAGACATGGCCGATTGGTTGATCCTGGTGGTTTAGTTCGACAAGGAAAGTCCCGTGCAACCTGATCCAACTCTTCCTGCCCTTTGCGTTGCAAAAATGCATAAATTGATTTGATTGAAAGGAAGAATTCGACGATTTGTTTGAGTTGGTTGAGGTGATTGATTGATTGAGTTGACATATGATGAGCGCTGCCGACACTAGCAGGTCTCGCTTCAATCGCCGACCAAAGGACACTGAACTCTTGGAGGAGGGACTCCAAGAGCACTTGCTACTAACCCCAGGGAAGAGAGTAGGAAAGGCACAAGCGGCAGTATACAGACTTAGTCCTTACCAGCTTAGATTCAATAAATCATTCACTTTCTAAGACAATACTTATGAGCACGTCCAGCTGCCAAACATGATTTCCATCAGTTCCGCATTGCATGATGCTTGTCTATCAACTTATTTGGGGGCCAGCTTCTCGGCGATAGCATCCGCGCACCTGTTATACATGGCCTCAACGGATTTCCGGAGGCTGGCACGCTGGACCTCATCAGGCATCGGCTCACCCTCTAAAAACCACCTCAGCTTGGTCGACTTGCCGTCGATATCCTCTAAGACAATGTTGGGGTAGACTTGTCCAGTATCAGGGAAATCGTCGTTAAAAACCCTGTAGCGGAGGAGGTGCTTGGCTGGATCGCAGACGACCATTTCGTCATGGAAATTGTTCCCCCACGGGCCGTTTTCGAAGTGTAGGGTGCGCACGGAACCCAGGCCGTAGCCCTGAAGGGAAGACGTGACGACGCCAGGAAACCAGAGGGACTCAGCGCCGAAGGACGTGACGATGCCCCAAATTTGCCCAACGGGTGCATTGATGACTCGAGTCACGTCGGCGATAACTTGAGCCATGGTGGCAGTAGTTGACGTGGTTATTGTGCTACTACCTGGGTTAGAGGCAGAACTGAAATGGCGCTGGTAATGGGCCTTAATTGTGGCGTACTTAGGTAGGGCGTTGTTGTTATTATTATTATTGTCGGCTTGTGGGGAAGGCTGATCTAGGCGGGATTAAAATGAGATATAAGTTGGTGGTAGTACATCTGTATGCTGTAGTGGAATTGTGGATGTCTGCCAGCCAGATGAATTGGAATTTTGAATCGATTAGAATTACGGAGAATCAAGGTATCCGAAGGCCCGAACATGACAAATGGGACGTTGCGGAGGCTCCATAAAGCAAGGCGGCTGCCCTGTCCGCTGTTTCGATTTGTTATTCTGGCCCAGGTAGACAAATTGCGGGTCTGGGCTACATCAAGAACTTGGTGTTTGTAAGCCATGGACTGCCATTGATTACGCCGGTAAATCCGCGACATCACAGGGTCGAGTCAGTGTATACATCGCGCACTCTCGGTCGGTCTATAGCGGCTCCGTCTGGGCATGGAGATCCTTCTATGTTTAGCAATCAACCAAATTCAAAACGAATCATAATGGTCCTAGCCACTTCAGACCACAAACTCATCCGCAACTGCATTGCACGCTACTGCATCGGCATCGATCTCAGAGACTGGGATATCTTCTCAAACGCCTTCCTGGACAGCGCCAAGGCATACTTCCCCGAGCCCGTCGGTGCCATCGAAGGGATCACAGCACTCAAGGCCACAGTACAGGGCATGGTCGGGACTCTTAAAATATAACATGCTCTGAGCACGCAGCTCATCGAACTTACGGGCGAAAAACCAGCCGAAGTCACGACTTATTGCGGGGCCGACCTTTTCGGCGTGGGCAAGGACGAAGGTAAATGTGTATCTAATTGGGGCATGTATCAGGACAAGCTTGTCAAGGTCTTTTTTGGCGGTCGGGAAGATTGGAAGATCACGGAGCGCAAGGTAATTTCTCAGGCGCCATTCAGTGGTGATATGTCTTTGATTCTGAAGTAGCCGACTTGTTAGTGTGACGGACAAGAATCGTAACAATTCTTACCTTGTAATCCCGAAGGAACGGCCAAAGTGACCATCACATCGTGTTGTTGTTGTTGTTGTTGTTGTTGTTGTTGTTGTTGTTGTTGTACACGGAGACTTGCAGCAAGCGTAGGAGTAGTAAATTGTGATGGATTTCTACAGACTTTCAAGATAAATTGATAGACCCCCGAATCGAGGCGTCTACGGCAGCTTTCCGGATCCCCGGAACAGGACCAAGGCACGTGGCATTTTCCGCGAGTAGATGCACGAGCTTGTCAAGATCGACAGTAATTCGAGAGGTTTTTGCAATAACCTGGGCAGTCTGATGATTGAAGTCCGACTGCAGGACACCGCCCATAGCGGTTGAACGGAGTTGGCTGTTGGCAGAACGCAGCCATCGTCTCCGCCCCGGAAGCCCGAAAACTGAATAGTCTGCCGGCTCATGGCCATGAAAATCAGCCGATAAAGATACAGAAGGGCGTTGCTCCATGCTGTCTAGTTGTGACGGGGTATTGTCGTTAATAGCCTGGGCCATTTCCCCTCCTGCTACAGCCCCTGGCAGGGCGAGTATAGGTATGCTCTGCTCGCTGTCTGGAACAAATGGTTGATACATAGTGTCGTCTGTAGATGTGCCGTTCGAGACGGTGTTGCGCAGATAGATTCCTCGCTCTTCCAGGTACTCCTCCACATCCATGGCCTCGAGCCATTCTCCTTGCAGGGGCGCAAAGTTTGTGTCTAGCATTGTCCTTGTTTTGCCTCTCACGATCTGCTGCACCAACGGAGCTGGCGCTCTTAACACGGCCTTAGTCCCACCTTCAACAACGCGGTACATGTGTGGTAGCCGGGGAGTGGAGTGTAGCGGATACTGGAAATCAGCTACGGAAGGATGAAATAGCGACAGACCTCGCAGAGAATTGACCATTAGGGCCTCTTCACCAAGCAGTTGAAGAGGAAGAGCCAAAGCCGGGGATTGGCTCCCATACACGGTGCTGTTAGATAAGATAGACACCACACGCTCGAAGCAGGCTCGAATGACCCTTGCTGACACTGGAATCTGGTTGGAAGTGTTCGTCCGCAGAGATATGATCGTAGCCCCGGAATCTACGGTGACTGACTGATGTGGAGCAAGCACTCCAGGTGCTTGTTGACGAGAGCTGGGGCCCGAATCCTCCGGAGCATGCGGCAAGGGAAAGACCTTGTTCGTGCCAGATGCAATAGCAGCCATTTGTGTCACTGCATCGTTCAGATGAAAGAGAACATCCGGCGAATTTCGAATCTGCGAGATATCGAGAATACGCCGATGGAGTGTGGAAAAGGTTGCCAATGCGTTGTCTAGAGCACTGTTAAGCTCTTCAGCCCGGATCCTTTTGGATTCTTGTGCCTCTTGTTTCCGGGCACGGTATGACCTCTGTGCGAGACGCATCCGTAGCCTCTTCTTCTGGAGCGAGCGTGCCCTCATTAGCTTGGTTCAGGTGAAGCGAAGCAGGCGGGTCGGGTCTTTTTGTCACGCACACACTGACCTGCTGACTATTGACCACGTCTTGTCCGTCTTGGATTGGAGGACGGCCACGACGAGCCGTTTGCGATTCCCCCATTTCTGTCAACTGGGTAGGAAGGATTGAGGTGTCGACGAGAAAGATGCGCTGACCAGGTAGCGAGTGGTCAGGATCGAGGGGCGGGGGCTGTCCCGATCGTTGATAAATCAGTGCGACAAATTGCGGAGACCCTACTCCGTAGTCTGGGCGCCAGTATCAGTCGCCCAGCCCTATGAGGTTAGTCCTTCCGGGCGGAATAAATTTCATTCATTCATTCATCAGTCGCCCCTAGTCTGCCTTACCTTAGGTAATCAATCGGATGCAACCAACTCGCGGTTGAGGGTGTGGCGTCTGTTGGCAAATTGTAGGCCGTGGGGCGTGGGTCGTGAAGACAAATTGCGGGTCTGGGCTGGATTATCAACAAGGTTAGGTTTGCAGAGAGGAGGAGATGTGCGTCTGATGGGTAACAGTGGGCTCGGGTCCTAAAGCCGAGGGTCTATGGTATTATTATAGAGTTGGTCGTGACCGACAGATAGTACTAGGTATATAAATCATGTCTGCAGCGACCAGAAAACTTATCCCTTAGCCAAATAGAGCAGAATACTAGACAGGAACAATAACCAAAACAACTACAATTACAACGACACCAGCATCATCAACAACCATGAAGGAAGCATACATCAACAAGGACCTCAACGTCGAGATCCGCGACGTTCCCGTTCCTACAGCCGGGCCGGGCGAGCTGCTCATCCGCACAGTCGTGTCAGGCACAAACCCAAAGGACTGGAAAATGCCCAAACTAGTGGGTGGGGACCCAGCGAATCATGGTGACGATATCGCCGGCTACGTCGAGGCGGTCGGCGAAGGAGTCACGGGATTCCGCCCCGGTGACCGAGTTGCTGCCTTCCACCAGATGTTTACTCCCCATGGTAGCTACGCAGAGTACTCAGTAGTGGCCTCCTTGGCAGCATTTCATCTTCCCGATGCCACCTCCTTTGAAGGTACGAGTCTCTCCTTTGCATATATGATATATGCCTCCTTTCTAACAGGCAATCAGAGGGTGCCACGATCCCGCTTGCTGGCATGACTGCTGCTCTTGGCGTCTATCGGAGACTCCAGCTGCCTCTGCCATGGCACCCGGTCACTGTCCCAACGCCCCTGGTGGTCAACGGAGCTGCAACAGCTGTGGGAGCCTTCGCCATCAAGTTTGCAACCCTGTCTAATATTCATCCCATCATCGCCATCGCAGGAAAGGGCATTCCATTCGTGGAGACCTTGCTTGACAAGAGCAAGGGCGACATCGTCATCGACTACCGCCAGGGAGCCGATCACGTCAATGAGCAACTTCGTAAGGCCGCCGAAGGGCATGTTATCTCTTATGCCTACGACACTGTATCCGACAAGGCAAGCCTGGAGACGCTTTTTAAGGTCGTTTCTCCAGAGAACGGAAAGATTATGAGTGTCGTGCCAAAAGAGGATGAGGTAACTGAGGGAATCGCGGTGCTGGGATCTAATGCTGGCCTTATCCACGCGCCCACCAAAGAGGGAGCCAAGGTTGGGGATGCAGAATTCGGTGCCACCCTTTACAATCTGATTAGTCTTGGCCTGGCCGGCGGCTGGTTTTCGGGGCATCCTTACGAGGTTGCTAAGGGAGGACTGGCTGGACTGGAGGGTGCTTTGAAGGATCTCGAGGCGGGCAAGGCGTCTGCAAAGAAGTATGTCCTGCGCCTGGCGGAGACACCTGGGGTATCTAAGAAGTAGGCCAAGGTTTACTGGCTGCCGTATAGACAACCTGTTATCTAGTTCTCTTGCAATAGGCTGCCTCTATTTATCTCTATTACATATGTACGGTCTTTAGATAATCATAGATAGTAATGGGGCTCGCAATTACAATAGCTATAGAACGGCCCTCTCGCAGCGGATGAAAACACGATGCATATTGATAAGATTAGAAGACGATCGAAAGAGGTCCAGGCTAATATCGAACAACCACATGCGGCTCCAGAACCAGGCAGGGGAGATGGCAGGTGCCATCAAAATATCAACCCCAAGAATGCCAAATCCAAGGCTGAGAGAGAGATCAACGTCCTGTGGCAAACCATTCAGGCGCAGTACTGGATCCAGATTACTCCTTAAGACGCATCCCATTCATAGCCGCTCTGATGGCGCTGCGCAAGGGTCGTTGCCGGGCATATGGAACAATATACCGCTAGATTTGAGATTGCAGGGGGTCGACATCGTTATTTTTGGTGTAAAAGGATGGCGCGCATGTGGGTGAGGGACGTTACTCAATGCCGATCTTATCCTGGACAGTTGAGTCTATTTGTCAGGCTAGAGTCACTATTACTAATTATTAATTTGATGTGTGCATCTTGGTAATCGCGGCGGCATGCAGAGTGGGATGCAATCCCCAAACGTGCTACACGCCCTAAGGACTGCGCGTTCACGAAGACGAACCCATAAGCTATAAGTACAAAGAGTTTGTATTGATGGTGTCTGCAGAATAATCTCTACCAAACTGCAGTACATCCTGCAGTGACCCCAAACCCAGCAGACCAAACACATCATTGATTGCAAATCAGCTTGACTAAATATTCTCCGCCAGCAGCAGACAAGATGGCTGGCAAATCCGACATCAAACCCTTCAAGATAGCTGTCCCTGACTCCGCCATCAAGCTGCTGAAGAACAAGCTGGCAGTATCAACTTTTCCAGACGAGACAGAGTTCTCGGATGACTGGGCGTTTGGAGCCTCCCTCGGCGACATCAAACGGCTGGCCAACCGCTGGCAAGACGGCTTCGACTGGCGGAAGCACGAGGCAAAGCTCAACGAGCTGCCGCAGTTCACAACGGCCATATCTGTCAATGGATTTGATGATCTGAACCTCCACTTCGTGCATCAACTTAGCAGCAAGCCTGGGGCCATACCCCTGCTCTTCTGTCACGGATGTAAGTCAAACCACAGCAACTGCAGCACATACGATCGGGACTGACCACGGACAGGGCCGGGGAGCTTCCTTGAAGTTACCAAGATCTTGTCATTACTGACGGAGCCAGAGAATGGATAGGCTTTCCACGTCGTGGCTCCGTCTCTGCCCAACTTTGGTTTCTCAGACGGGGTGTCCAAGCCAGGATTCAGCATCCCGCAGTATGCCGAGGTGATGCACAATGTCATGCTGAAGCTTGGATACAAACAGTATGGTGAGACTCCCTACCCGGGTGCCGAGATGCCCCTTCAACCGCCCTAACTGATGATATGTAGTCAATCAGGGTGGCGACTGGGGCTACAACATCACCAGGCTGATGGGCGTACTGTTTCCCGAGAGCTGCCTCGCAACGCACATCAACTTTGCTTACATCACAGAGCCACCGTTGACGAATGAGGCTCCGCTACAGGCAGCCAAGAGCGCGGTGCAGCCGTACACGGAAGAGGAAAAGGCCGGTATCGAGCGCTCGCAGTGGCTCCAGAAGGAAGGAATCGGCTACAACTTGCTCCAGTCAACGAAGCCATCGACGCTGGCGTTTGCGCTTCGCGACTCGCCCGTGGCTCTGTTGGCGTGGATCTACGAGAAGCTGCACGACTGGACCGACAGTTATCCATGGACCGACGATGAAGTTCTTACGTGGATCTCCATCTACCAGTTCTCCAAAGCAGGCCCTCAAGCAAGCGCCTACATTTACTACGAGAGCGAGCACTCTCACAAGGAGACGACGAAAAAGGGCTACGGGTACATCCCGGGAATCCACCTGGGTGTCTCGATATTCCCCAAGGACTTGGCAATTCCGCCGAGCGCCTGGGTGCCATCGTTGGGGCCGATAGTCTTTTTGAAGCGTCACCCGGAGGGTGGGCACTTTGCTGCGTATGAGAGACCGGAGGCGTTGGCGGAGGATCTGAGAGAGATGTTCAAACAGGACAAGTTGGATGAGGTAGTGAGAGGTCTGGCTAAGCTATGAGAGAGATGATTCGCAAAACTGCAAGCTGCCTAGGACAATTCAGATTGTCTTTGATATGCCTCCCGTTACACTCTATGCATGGAGAGAAATGTAGACCTGGATGTCCCCCATGGTGTCGCAGGGTTGGGGCCTCGGAGCCAGCGCGCCTAATGTAGTGGTACACCCAAGTTGACCAAGGAGCTGTTGCACAGCCCTTTCAGCAGCCATTCCAGTGACAAACAGTGACGTTGAGCAAGGTAGAACCGAATTCAATAGTACCTGTACCTCCGCCCAACACCCGGGGCATCGGAATTATGTAGCAGCTCGGCATTATTTGCATCTACAAAATAGTGACGCTTTCTTCTGCTTCGTCTTGTTTCCCACTAAAACAGGTCAATCTCCGCTCTCAAACCATGGCGACGTCGTCCAAGGATCAGGCGAACGACCAGGAGAAGCAGAAGCTCAGTGCTCTGTGATCGGTTCTCGCCGGTTCGACCGACGGCGCCGTGGAAATTGTTTAACGTCGCATGCCCTGACACCTGGATATCCTGCCCATACACCTGCCAGAGTACGTATGGGAGACTACGAGGGCTGTCACGGAACGCTTGCTCAAGGGCGTGTGGAGTTCTTTGGTGCTGTCTCTTCACGCCCAGGCTGAAAGTGACGGGCAGACCTGTCAGGAACAGACGTCAAGAAATCGGCGGTGTTCCTGCTCGGGTCAGTTACAGAACCTTACTGTCGTGGAGGCACCAGAATCTCAAGTCCTCAAAGTATTTCTTAGCCTCATCGGCAGGCCCTTGGAAGAGCATGCGGCCCTCGTCCATCACCAAGACCTTGTCCAGCTCGTAAATCGACTCCCCAGCATGGTAGAGAGTCACGACTGTTGTTTTTCCAGTGACATCTGTGTACACGCGGAGGGATTTCGCAAACTTCAATGCGGTACTCGCATCCAGTCCGCTCAAGCTCGATTTCCATTATGATACCGCCCGCAGTATGGCCTGGGTAAAGATGCAGCGTGATTCCTTGGAAAAGCTCACACGCCGCTCCGGAGAATGTCTTCCAATTCAACCGGTCGACTAGAAGGTAGTCAGGCTGGTAGGTCCCCTTCTCTATGCCTGTGGCAGTCGCCCAAAAGGCTTTTTTGAGCTCTTCTTCGTGACACCAGATTTCCACATCTAATCAAGTCAGTATTTAAACTCTTGGCAGAAAGGCAGAATGTCAAACATACCAGAATTTAAAAAATGCTCCAGTCCTCCAGCGTGATCCTGGTGTAGGTGACTCATCACGACTGCCTTGACGTCTGATATGTCTCGGGCCCCCGTGGCTTTGATTGCCTCGGGCAGCCCGTGAATCTGCTTATCCCAGATCCTGGGAGTACACTCAAGGGCCTGCTGCCCCCAGCTCGCAATGGCATCCTCGCACGAGCCTGTGTCGAAGAGGATGAGCCCAACGTCAGGGTGGTAGACCAATGCCGCAAGCATGATGAGGTTTCGTCGCTCGTGCTGCTGCGGAGGCAGCTGAGCTGGGAATATGTTGGCGCCGGAAAGAACAACAGCAGAATCTATGTCGAGATAACCGAGATTCAACAGCTAGGAATGTGAGCCATCAATCGTGGAAGAGGCTTTGTTTCTTACCCATAGTTTGGCACCACTTGGTAACGTTGTCGGTGAGTGTGTCATGCTGAGGGTACCGTACACTGTTGAGATTAGAAATGCACAATGTCTGGCAACATGAGGCACAAGACCGAGGAGGTCTTTTGATCGATGCATCTAGGCCCACAGACACGACATGATGAGAGAGATCTGCATTGTATTCATAAGCTGTAGTGACTCAACATCGGTGCGTATCTTGCAGCTAGAATCGCACCTTGACACCCTAGTAAAGCTCTGATGCCACAAAATGGCCGCAGACCTGTACTTCTGAAGCCATCGTAGACCACCAGGCAGCTATTCCGATCCTTGGCTGCGGGGAAGCTGACCAGGCGCAGGGCGAGGCTAGCAGGGATCCTCCACTTCCTCTTCCCATGTTCAATATTAATCAAAGTCTACAGCCCACCTTTATGCAACCTGCTGACAGCCCGTGCACTTCAGCGCCACCGCTATTGCTGCTAGTTCCACTGTGTACGGATTCTGCTCGTCTCCGGGCCCGAGAGTGAAGGAATAGCTGGCAACCACCTCGCCTGCGCTGTTGCGAGCCGCAGACCGACCGACCGGCAATTGTCATCAGACCGACCGACTGGAGCTACCGGTCGGATTGGGTGGTCTGAGTTGGTCTGGGTTAGGGGTTTCTAGGGCTCCCATTGGCCGACTCAGCCTCGACTCCCCTCGTGCCACCCCCACTCCTTTTGCGGGTGCAAGTTCGCAGTGCCAAATTAAGTGGGGCATAGAAAAGGTAGCCAATGAGAGCATCAGCTAATCAGACCCAGACCGGCCGCGTTGCTAACCCAGACAGACCTAGACAGCGAAGCCTTACAGCCAAGACCGACCGACCGAAGGGGTCGGTCTAGGTCTGTCGGTTTGTTAGCCACACTGAGCCTGTTTGTCGCGATAGCAAATTTGCTTGCCGCACGACCTGTATGTTTGGCTTCCACTTTTCGTCGTCCGACGCAGCTTTTTCTCCCAAGAAGAAGGACAAATTCCCAATCTTTGTTCGTGAGCATTTAATCATGGCTTCCCGTTGCACTGTCCACTTTTTGCATCGGAAGAGGAAGTGTTCAATCGTCTCTGCTGCTTGTCCACAATCGCATATGTCCGATTCCGCTGCCCCTCTCCTGTGAAGATAACTGTTCAGTCGCACCATCCCGGTCCGAAGCTGGGCTATCACGTCCGATTCTTTTCTTTTCAGTGAGTCGTATAGTGCACGGCTGTGCTTGCCCAGCAGCGCCTTGTCGATAGCAACGTCTAGCTCGCAGAAGGGCGGCATAGTAGGAATGGGAGGCGTCGTGTGCGACGCGACTCGCAATAGCGCCAGGTAGGACGTTCCCTTCTGCGTCTAGCACTGCAGTTCGGTTGGCGTTGTCCACCTTCACCGGGTAGAGCTGGTCTCTCATCACCCTCACTCCCACGACCACCGTCTTCTGCGCGGCTTCCTTGACCTGCTTCAATTCGTTTTCATCTCTGCAGATGACCTTGACTCGCTCTGTGTTCCGGGCATCCCTTACAACGGCGGCGCATCTTCAGGCCGCCTGGCCATCCTTCGTCCTCATCTCATTTTCGATGGCTTTCCGGATTGGTCCTAGCTGTGCACAGTCTCTGTTCCCTTCTTCGACCCGCGACGTGTAAATCGTGCAATAGAGCTCATTTGCCAAGGACGATGCCAAGGTGTTGTTGGAGACGTTCGTCCTCACATTGCCAGGCTCGGATGAGGGTGATGAACACTTGACGTCAGCGAAAGAGACCGGCGGGGTAGCCGGGGGGCGCGCTGGGATAGCTTCAAGCAGCTCGTGTGCCCGCTTCAGGTCATGGCCCATCTGCTGCTTGGTGTCATCAAATCGTTGGCTCTACCGTCACGGGGAGGCATTTCCAACCCTCTGTGTTTATCGCACGACAGGATGTTTTCTGAATAGTTGCAGTATTCAATCTTCAAGGTCGGTCCGACTAGCGAGCGCGTAAGGGATGGCAGAGTACAGTCGTGGATCTCTCATTTGAGGCTCCGGAACTTATACAGTCAATGACGTTGCGAGATTGACTTCATTGGACCCCGATGTCATGAAAATATCTCATCTACCTACCTAGATTCCGTAAGCAGAGTAACGGTTCTGATTTTCTAGAGAACACCAATCTACAACACCAAACCCTTGTCCAAATAATATCAGAAGTCTTCTCAACCACTGCAATCATGGCTGACCAGTCCAACGGCAACCTCAACCAGCATGACCGCCCGAGTTTCGATACGTACGACAAGGAGGATCGTGAGGGCTGACTTGCACGTGTAGACAGGGACTCATCAGCTCACACGTCGAGTAAATCAATGGTGCCGGAGAGGTAAATTGCACCGGGAGGGCTGTCAAAGCCTTACACCATCTGAAACTAACACGGGCAGCATCCCCGGCTCCCTTGCCTGGATATCTTCGGGCGAGCAAGACTAGGCCCACGCCCAGTCCGTCATGAAGACCGTCACCGAGGGCCGCGATCCTGCCACCCAAGGGCACGGCAAAGCTGAGGAGCTGGCCGGGAAAGTCTTTAACTGCGAGGGCATGCCGGAGGAGGGTGCTACGAGTGCGAAGGAGTAATACTATGATCATCTGAATTAGACTGCCCCACAGGGCAGGCGTCTTTCTATCGCTAGGGAAATCTGTAACGGCAATCACGGGTAACGATTTGACGAAGAGTGTTCAAACATGTTTATCTCGTAAGTATTCTAGTCTCATGAACGTGCCATGTGAACTGGATCAGATACCCAGGGCCTGGATAATGGCATTGGCCACACCATAGGACGACGCTGGGTTCTGGCCCGTGATGAGCTTTCCATCAACAATAACTTTCTCCCCAAACGGGCCCTCGGTTGACTTAACATAGTTACCGCCACTAACCTCGTTGAGCTTATCCTCGAGACTAAAGTCCAGCTCCCCAGTGAATTGAGTTATTTCCTCGGCAACATTGTCAAGGCCCGTCACCAGCTTATTCTCAAGAATCAGCTTGCCGTCTGCGGTCTTGGCATTGATAAATGCCGCTGGACCGTGGCATACGGCAGAGATGACTTTGTCCTGGGCGTGGAAGTCGCGCAACAGGGCTAGCGAGTTCTCGTCAAAGGCGAGATCGAACATGGGGCCGTGGCCACCGGGGTAGAAGACAGCGTCGAAGTCGGAGGCGCGGCCGGCAAGGTCAGATAGTTTGAGGGTGTTCTTCCAGACGTCCGATTGGTTCTCGTAAAAGTCCTTGCAGACGGGATCTTCCTTGAAGTACTCGACCGAGGTGGGGTCGATAGGTGCCTCACCGCCCTTGGGGGAGGCGTAAGTGAGGTCGACCTTGGAGTTCAGAACGTGCCATGGGTGGGCGAGCTCAGGCTTCACGTTACCAATTAATATCAACGGAAGGTCGCGAAGATATAAGCATATTCAACTTACTAGATACCAGCCGATCTGCTTGCCCGACTTGGGGACCTTATCGACGGACGTGAGAATGACGAGAACGTTGGGCCTGGCCATTGTGATTTGATGCGAGAATATTGAGTATAGAATGAGGTAGGGAACAGTGGTAAGTGAAGATCAAGTGCTGAGGTATGCGTAGGATTCATCTCAACCAAGTGAAGCTGGAGATTGTCGGTGGTATTTATTCTATCCATTGCTACTCATCATCCTGCGCCGCCCTTGTAGAGCCATGTGCCGTGGCTTGGGCAGCGCATCTGCTCACGTCATGCCGCGATTCATGATTTGAAGCTCCCTCCAATCGCAGTGTGTCTTCTGGGCTTCGAGAAAGCAGCCGAAACCCGGAGTTGGTCCCGTATCAGGACGGAGCCTGTATTGGTAATCGAGAACAGGAGTCCGAACGCGGATATAGCGGCATCTCTCGAGATGTCACCGGACTCGCCAAATTAATGTCCAAGAGCATCACGGAGTTTACCGGATATCATAGAAACATCATAGTAGCTGACCAATGTCTTCAGCTCGCCTGAATTCATCAAGTGTCCCATGTCGGGAGATTTCTTAGACCTTGACTGACTGAGACGACCGGGGGTCGAAGCACTTAGAAGTAAGTGAGGGGAAGGGAAATTCATTGGATGCCCCGGCGGGGAAGGTTCAACTGCCGAAGCTCCTGCTTTAGGGCTGATAAACACAGTTTTACTGCCCAATCAAAAGCCAGATCGCTGCACCTCCACAACCCAACCCCTTCATTGGTTCAGCTGGCTTATGCTATTAACTATCTTAATAATCGTCAATTTAGCCTTGCGCTAACCCACCAAACTCCACCCTTCCTCGACCCATCCCGCCCGCGAAGTTTCTCGTCGCGGCCTGCGCCTACTCTCCCCAATTCCAATGCGCTTCTCTCAACTCTCATAATGGCGCAGGCTCGAGGCCACCGGATCGAGCCTGGTGGGGTTCCTTGGGGATGCCAAAACACGGCCAAGGAGGAGCTAGAAAGCCTCAACGATTACGCAAGCTCCCTCTGCTTTTAGATACTTATCCCAGCCTTTCTCGGGTTCGGTTCCGCAGTACCAGGAATGCTATTCCTTTAAGAATATAGCTAGATTAGGCAAGTAGCCATGGCTCTATTAATTGGCCCGTATGTTCTAATTAAGCTTTAGCATTGCCAGTTGTGTTTGCTGATGGCCCGGAGAAACATCGGGTATTTAGCAGTCGGGGATTCCCCCCGATAGCAGAACTTGGGCGCTAAGTAGAGGTGAATGCCCAAGCAGTGCTGTCATTCGGCATTTCACCTGCTCTGAGCGAAAACGGGGGCGGTCGGTCGGACTGATGAACCAAAGCGACAAATTGTGGAGACGCTTGACTCCATATTTGTAATGTAATCAGGTCACTCGACAAGTTGATGACGTGATGTTTTTGGGGCTCTGAAGACAAATTGCGGGTCTCGGCCTGCATTAGTTAGTTAGTGTACAGATGTCGCTTTCAAAAGTCGTCGGCAACGCTAATAAACGCCACATCATTTAACCCCTGTAACTACTTTCCGATACGTGATACTCAGGTTGACTAGCAGGTACGCTCCCTAAATTCTTTATAACCTTAGGGGTCATCAGGGAAGGTTATTTTTAATTAGCGACTAGATCCTACTATGCTCTGATGGCGTTTAGTGGGTTCACGTGTGTTCTAAGTACCCCTTTGTATTTATCCCTAGTGTGGCGTGGTCATTGCTTTTTCTTGACCGAAAACTTTTGAAAGCTTCCTCCGTAGGTTGTGATGATCTCTTTTGAGGGAAGTACCTAGGTTGGCAGTCATTAGTTCCATCCTTAACTCCGGGCCAAACGTAAGCTTCCCGCCTCGCCAGTCTGTCAGAGGGACCCAGGGGTTGGCGGCGTATTTGATCGAATGTGAGATGCTGCGCCTCGAGCCACCGCTCGACTTCCCCGCTGCGGAAGTCGTGGGCTTTGGCACGTCGGCACATGAGCCGCAGACATGCCTCATCCATGTATGTACGACCGAGGTTCCCTCGCCCGGCACATGCCGTAGCAGAATATCCTTGGAGGCGTGTGGAAAGAGCCTGAGAGCGGGCAGGAACAGGCCTAAACACGCCAGCTTGGCAAACGACGGGCCGATGCCATCCAGAAAGTTCCTTTATTAGTTGGAGATATTTGTAATTATGGATCGTTTCGCATTACTCGTGAAACAAGTGGACGTTGAAAAGGCATAAATACGCTCCGAGGCCAAGGAGTTCAACGCTTTTATTAATTTCAGCCCATCAACCATTTCACTCGCAATCAACAATCTACTCCTTCACCATGCTCTTCCCACAGATTCTCACCTTGGCTTTCGTCACAGCTATTTTTCCTGTGGCCATCGCGCTGCAGCTCCCAGACTACCGGGCCTTGAAAACGTCACTCAATTCGACCGTACTCGAGGTCACCTTCCATAACCCAGACGCTCCTGTCGTCAACCTTTGGAGTCAGGACACCCAAGACGAGCTCACGGACCTTGTCGAGAGACTTCAGAGTGATAATGAAACTAAGGTCGTCATTTTCAAGAGCGATGTTCCGAGATTCTTCATCGCCCACCTTGATCTGGAGATACTTGCCGGACCTAATAGTACGTAATAAGGAAGGCTTTTCGACTTGGCCGCATCTTTCATCCCATGTACGTAAAATAACAGCCTTATAGCCAATTTTATCTACACATTCGCAACCCTTCTTTATAATATCACAACCCTTCGACAAGTTACGATTGGTGCCGTAGAAGGCAGAGCACGGGGAGCAGGAAGCGAACTACTGTCGGCTCTGGATATGCGCTTTGCAACCAGGACTGACACTCTTATTGCGCAGCCAGAACTTGGGGTGGGCCTAATCCCAGGTGGCGGCGGTAGCCAATTTCTTACCAATCTGATCGGCCGCGGGCGCGCCATGGAGTATATTCTAGCCGCCAAGGACATTACTGCGTCAGAGGCTGAAAAGATTGGTTGGGTTAACAAGGCGTTCGAGACTTCGGCGGATATGTACGCCTACGTTGACCAGCTGACTTCTCGGCTCCGACTGTTCCCCTTGACGGCTTTACACGAAGCGAAGAAATCCATCAACCGCATTTCAGCCCCGACCTTTGAGGACATTTATGCGGAGGCGGTCGCGTTCTCTAAGCAGGTAGCTGATCCCCTTACACAACAGGCGATGCAGAGATCAGCCGCTGTGTTTGGCAACATGTCGCTATTGGAGGCGGAGTTGAATCTGTCCGACTGGGCGCCTGCATTTTACCAGTAATGCCGGACACACAACCAGTGGAGGAGCAAAGGTTCGACTGAGAGAAATCCACGGTTGAATTCAGAATATAATGTCAAAACCCCTCCTTTGGGCCACCCAAAAAAAACCATAACCCTAACCCTACCCTATCTTCAACCCTACTTTTCAACCCTTCGCGCTGCAGCTACATATAGTCTTTTACTGTACTCGATAATTCAGGGGCACTAGATTTATCTATATATATATATTTTTTTTTTATCGTCAGCTTTAACATGGGCCCTTTGAATAGCCTCAGTATCGTCAAGTTTCGAATTTCATATCGAAATATGGAGGTTAGGGTTCCCGCGTGAGTTCGGAGGACAAAGGTTGTTCGAAACAGAACAAAAGTGAGATATATGATAGAGCAAGAGAAACGCAACTCAACTAAGTTCCTCGTGAGTAGTTTTAGATGCTTCTATACCCTGTATTAATCAAAGGTTCTTTACTTTATATGTTGGCTGCTGCACTTATAAATTATTCCGGCCAATCTATTAGGTGACAGCTGGGTGCCAAGCTTCCCTGAAGCTGATAGTGGCACACTACATATTGCTGTTGTCGTCAATAGCTCAGGAAGGAGCTTGGTAACCAGAGATGTCAGCTTGATAGGAACTTTAGAAGTCAAGCATGCCAACAAATTTACTAGGAATCGAGGATGATTCCGTTCTTGGAGAATGAATTCGTGTTCAGCGACTGGGTTTCATCCGGGTTGTCCATTGCCATAGCTTTCGCCAAGGGTCTCACGATGTGGCAACGAGCAAACTTGCAGGACGCCCGATTAGATATATCGGTTACAGAACAGGGAGGCACTGTCGCGCAAGATCTAGAAAACATTTGCCGATCGCTTTTCAGCGGGCTGCGTGTCGTGAGGCTAAGGATTCAGACCAAAATTTTATCACGCCTCCCCTTCGCGTATCACGAACACAGCGGCAACGTGGTCAAAGACTCCGCCTTTGGACCAATTCTCGATTTCTCTTGCCTCGGCCTTCTGCAGCTTGAAGGCGCTGGAAATTCTAGAAGTCGACATAGTGGAATGCAGATGGAGTACAGGTACTAAATTGGAGTGGTGTCGAGCACTTTAAAGTCGCGTAAACGACAAAACGACTAAAGGGCGGTGTATTCGAGTAGTGGGTGTGGAATGCCCGGCGACATGAGATCCCGAATAGTTGACCTGTTTCCTACAAGCTTGCAATAGGTATTGTTTACAGGGTTTCATAGATGCCGCTTTGCTCAAGGGGCTGGATGTTGGAACTAGACGATTTGTGGACGTTTTTGTGAGATAATTATAATGTAGGTTACAAGACGAGCTTTCACTACCTACTCCAACAGGCATACCTGTAATTTGGTCTGGTGACGATCAGCTCATCAGTCTTCAGTGCTGTGGAAGGAAGGATTGTTGACCAAATGCCGTGATGAGATGTGGATTATAAAATTAAAAGGCCATTGCTTTGAGAGGCTGTTCTTGAGAAGCCAGTCGTGGGATACCGAAACTGCTGGTGCATCCTGGGGCTAAGCCAGAGCAAAGCGCGAGACGCGCGTCCTATACGTGCTCCGACTTTGACAATGTCAAGAATTGGCGGCAGTCGAGAAGTTAGATAATGGTTTCAGCCGATTCGGAAAACAGATCTCAATCTCTTCTTGTATCAGAGAATTAATCGGAACAAAAGGACTACCGATGAGGGCAAATTCATTTTACATGGCCAGCAACCGTTCTCTTCTTGCACCAGGCGGGGAGCCTGGGGTTTTCTTAAGCTCTACCTGATAACAATTCTCCACCGATTCTGAGCTGCATGTCCTAACTCTTCCAGCCAATCTCCAGTACGTCCTTGACAGAGTTTGTCTTAATATTGGGAAATAAATGGCTAACAGCCTGCTCTTGCTTATAGTTCATGAGGCCCTGGTCAAAGAAAAGCCCGAAAGCGGCACACATGCTGTGAAAAGCTTCTCTGGGGAAAACTGCATAAACTGGCACCTGGCCTGGAAGCTCAGTGACTTTACCAGATTTCAGCATGTCAAGTGAATCATGGACAATGTCGAATTTCTCCCCTACAGCAGTTCGTTAACGCTCATGAATTAAGCAGTTAACTATGAGATAATAATTTGCAAAATGTAGAGATTTATGCGTTGGCGTATCAACTCACCAAGAACTTCAGCAGTGGCAACGAATTCGTTCCAAGTAACCTTATCTCCAATCACATATGACACTTTCTCCCACTTATCAAGGGTCAGAAGTGCTGCTGTGAACTTCGCAACATCACCAGAATACGTGAATACAACTGGAGTATCACCCGGGCCTGGAATGGCAGCCTTCCTGGCTAGCATATCAACGACCAGGGCCGAAGGGCTTAGATAAGACTTTATCTTGCGCATGCCCCAGTAATCGAGGAAAAATCCATTGCAGACAATGGTCCATTCGAGCTGCGTTTTCTCGGGCGCTTCTTCGGCTGCGATTTTTGGTGCAGCTAAGGGGAAGGACCAGTGTCTGAAAGTTGCCATCAGCTTTAGTATATGCTATACTCGAGCACAGCTGGATATTATGGATACATACTCAGGCCATACTTAGCACCGAAGCCGCTTGGGATGAATCTTCGGGTAATTTTGGACTTCTCGGCAGCCCGGATTAAATTGTTCTCGTATTCGAGAGGCGTCGAGACGCCTAGCGCCGAAAGCACCGTTTGGACATTTTCGTCTTGAAACAGCGTAACAAGAGATTCGACGTCGGAGTAATCGATGGCTATGATGCGTGCCAGTGGCCGAGAGATACGGCATCAAGTTGTCTAAGATTGGGAAGCAATTCAAGCATTGAGCCAGCGTTGCCATTGTTAACGAAAAAGTGATAGAGAACACAAAGATTGAAAGATTGAAGGGGAAGGAAAGGGGGAGGGCAGCGCAACCTCGGACTTTCCTCTTTTTCCGTTTCAAAGACTAGTTTTTCCCAATGTCTACCTCCATGTTGAGCAAGATTACCACGTCGATCCAGGGCTTAGAAAGCCTCGTCGACGGTTTCAATGCGGATCAACACACAGAGGATGAAATGACCGAACTCAAGAGACTCGGAGAGAGACTTCAGGAGATGGGATCCTCACTTGTTAAAAAGACAGTGAAGGATGATAATCTCAAAGCTTGTGAAGCCTGCTCAATGCAAAGATTAGAGGTGGAACGTCAGACTACGGACGTGATTTCTAGCGGACGAGTCAGGGTACCATCTCTATTCGTGCGAACAATCGGCACAATCTTTAATGGCCCAGGTGTCACAACCACCCCAACCAACCAAAGAAGGTGCGAAAGAATTCGTGGCTTGAGGCCAGACGCGATAATCTGCTGGGCACTTTCGCTTAGGCCCTATGCCTGGAGTGGAAACAAAATGCGGAACGATGTCTTTAACTACCTTGTTGAATCTATTGACACAAAATCGACAAGGGCATGGCCGCACATGGTTCACCGGCTCCTAGAATACGATGGAGAAATTTAGTATAATCAGCATTGTCGCGAGGTTGGGATAATGACTGCGCGTGCGACCTACGAAAAAGCAAGGAGCATAAGGCATTGCTGTCAATTGGCTGGGCCGAGACGAATGAGCGTCGAGAGGAAGTACGACGGAGAGTACTGTCAAATCCATATCGACCTGAACAAATCCGGAGCCGGAATCAAGATTTTCTCCAAGAGTGGGAGAGATTCAACCAGCGACTGCATGGGAATTCATCGGGCACTGCGGGGCAGCCTTGAGCTTGACACAGCAGGCTGCAAGATCAAGAAGCGGTGCATCCTGGAGGGCGAGCTGCTGGTATGGAACGACAACGGGAGAATCGAGCCTTTCCACAAAATCCGCAGACATGTAAAACGATCGGGACGGTTTCTTGAAGCTGCTCGAGATTCGCCCGTCGAATCGGGCGAGCATCTTATGATCATATTCTACGATATTCTATTATTAGATGATATTATATATAGCTTAGAGACTTATAATAAATAGCAATAATTACTTTAATCTCTGGTCTGTTATATTTCGGGTTGGACTGATATTGGGTCTTGTAAAGTAATTAAATTCTTATTTTTTAATATAGTAGAATAGCTTAGTAAGATATTTATTTAAGCTATTATATAATAGTAAGAAGAATTTATACTTAAAGATTATAATAATCTTTACTTCTTATTTAATAAAAGTAAGCTATTTATTAAGTTTAAGAAAGATTATATTCTAGGCCTTAATAATATTATAAATTTTATTATTATTAGGGGATATTATAATATAAAAGATAAATATAAGCTTAATATTAATAGCTTATAATAAATATTATTCTATATTAGGTATATTAAAAATAAGAATAAGATCTACTATTTTAATATTAAGCTGAGATTTTATATAATATATATGATAAGCTTGCATGATAAATAAGTATGTGTAATACTTATATTGTATAGCTAAAAAGGTAAACTTAGAATTCTCTAAAATAGGCTATATAGTTTTTAAAAATCCAAAAAAAGAGTTTTCAAGTATTTAACTAAGAATGAAACTATATAGCTATTTATTTAGATTTTTAAAAAAAATCCTTTATATAGTAATTACTAATTATACAGTGTGAATAAGATTTTTATTAATAAGTATATAAGTAAATTCTCTAAAAATATAAAAAAAACTTTTATTAAATATTTATCCTTTAATAAAGCTAACTTTCAAGTTTAAGCTCTTTTACTCTCATTTTGAATTATAGAGAATTTTATAAAAAAGTTATCTTTTAAGGTGTAAATACTAAGAAATTGCAAAATGTCACGCAACCTTATTTGTTACGCAAGCTTATTATATACGTTAATTAATATAATTAATAGATATAATATCTTAAAAGAAAATATTATATACCTTAACTACTATAAATACTTTATATAAGTACTATTTACTAAGTTTATACCTAAGTTTAATATCCTTTTAAAACCCGCATGGAGGCTGCAGCTAGTAGAGCTATTTAAATATCCGTTTATAGTAGAGGTAGTTAGTGCTGGCTTTAACAGGCCTGCGAATGTTGGGTACTTTACTCTGCGATTTCCACGAGTATTGAAAGTTTATGAGGATCGCTCGTTTAGAGTAGAGATACCGGATGACGGAGAATAGGAAGAGGAAAGTTGGCTTGGGAGACTGCGAGTCTACAAGCACCTAGTTGACAGATAGAGGACTAGCTCTCCCAGCGACGATTCAGTTTCTGTCGCCGATAGTTGTGCAGGCAGGCAAAGGAACCGGCAACAGGAGAAGTTGGAGACAGTTGTTGACTCCCAGTGCCTTGATAATATTTCCCTGGGTTCGTCATAGCGGAAGATAACTCCAGAGGTTGCCTTGTATGGTAATTCAGCCGTCAAACGAGCAAAGTGGGAGTAAACAGGCACAACACTTCCAGAAGCTTGGCATTTTGTTGATGGTCCAATGACCAAGCACTCACGGCGTCTTGAGGCAGTGTCCTAGTTCCTGTTCGTTGGCTAGGATCTTTTGTCGGACGAGTTTGTTTCGAAGCCGAATGGCGAAGCCTGTGGCTGTGTGGTGGATATCCGGGATATCGATAAGTATCAGACCTAACATTTTGTAGGTAGCCTCACGCAGGGCGTAGTTGGTGACAGATTTCGCCCATTCCTGGTGCTCTTCTGGAGCTCGGATGAGGATGCGGATGTCTTCTGTGGGTCGGGTTTGGGTTATATGGCACCCATGGCCCGTGCGTAAGCGCATGGGTAGGCTTTAAGAGTGTTACCGAGTGGTACCGACGAGAGCGACGGTGGGAATGCGACAGTTGTAGAATTAAATGGGTGTCAAGAGTTCAACGATAGTCTCTCTTGAAGAAAAGATAAGCAATAGGGGTTTGTATTGCTGGATCTTGGAATAATAAGATGGCTCCGTTATTGATCCAGCCAGTTGTCAGCAAGTGCCGCTGATCACTTGCTGACCGCTGAATGTCGAGTGTCCAGCTAAATTGCTTTACTCTAGCAACTCCTGATCTGATGCCTTTTTCTCAAATTGCCAGTTTTCTGCGTGCAGGTCTCGAGGGTCTCAACGTGTCCTGCGCGCTATGCCAAAGTGCTGCTGACGGCATTCTCTTTTGAGAATCTCCTATGCATGTCCTTCCAAGGCCGTTCTTATCCTCCATGCGAATGAGCAGGCCGACTTGTCGGCTGTAATGGCTGTTCTTATGCTTGTGAAAGAGCTGGGGAAACAAAGATCAGGAAGACAGAATGAGAAACTTCGAGCGTGCAGGGGAAGTGACCAGGTTGGAAGGACACAAGGCCGCCTTTGATGAGAAGGTACTGCTGCCCACGTTTTGGCGCTGTCGATGAATGGCAAAGTCCGTTTCTGCTCCCCTGCTCCAGCGATCCGTGTCGCGCGGGACGTAACGGCCGCCGATTTTGCAGGTACCGGTATTGGAAGCAAGTATTTCAACTTCAAGTTTCTGCCGTCAAGACATGAATCATGTAACTGGCGCTGCTGTTTAAACTTGATGTTCCAGAGTCAGTGACTCCCCTCGAACGGCAGCCAATAATACGGAACAGTGGCGGGGGGGGGGGGCATAAGGTGGGCGTACTACCGGTACGTTGCGAAAACGCCTCCTCGGCACTCGACCACGGAAGTTCCCCGTGTGTCGACCGAATCGCTACAAGGAGTCTACGCAGGGGTTGCAGAAATTAAGATCAGCCTCAACTGTCAATTCAACTTAATCAGGTCTCGGTAGTATCCAAGATCGCCTGTCGGGAAAACCTTCCCACCCCCGGTTCGACCCTTCATATGACCAGGGTCAGGCATCTATCGAATCGAATGTAACCCTGGTAGATTCGAATCGAATCGAATGCCAAGACTCGATCGAATTCGATTCGAATTCGATCGAACAGATGACTAATCTGGTGCACGTAGACAACATCACAGGACATCGTGACTTCGCAAGGGACGTCTCAGGAGGCAGTGAAATTCATAAATTGCAGGTCTCGGCCGATTAAATTTCACTTGTCTACTTCGCCGACGCAAGTGCGTCAAGCTATTGGTTATGACTGAGACTAAGCAGCGGCAGTGCAGGCGTGTGTATCCCGGCATTACTCCATGATCAAATGCATTGAGCCTGTTGGAGATCACAAGTGTGAGGCGACCAAGTCGGTGGCAAGGTGTGGAAGAAGGAGGAACATTCTACAAGAGATCGTGCCTGTACATAAACAGTGGTTCCCCTACTGCACATTTAGTATGAATCAAGCATTTAATATCTTCTCATTTCAACAGAGCCATCGCGAGCATCTCCCTCTTCACCCGGTTTCTCAACGGCGCCAACATCCTTCCTGCACTACTAAAGGCCCTCTCCCTCTCTGAAGACGACGATGGGATATTGAGCATATCAACAGCCAAGAGAGACAGCCGCGGGTAGCGATAGGCGTTGATTTTCCACTAGCCAATTGGACAGGAACGGGAGACCAAACGGGTATCGCATATCGTGTGCGTGAAATTCGCGAGGTCGCCAGTGTCGTGGAACTGATGAACTCGTATGATGATCCAGTCAGGTCCCTCTATTCGTCTCCTTCTTTCGGTCCATTCTGGTGCCGTCGAAGAATCGACTGTTGGACTCTTTATGGTCTGATGCACGTGAGGTGGAATAGTGGGGACTGAAGTTGACGGTCGGCGTGGAAGCACTGCGGGGTGCCTGCGGAGTCGCTGGTACAGCACTTCACTGGTAATTGACGCTTGGTTTACTTGCTGGTCAAAGAGGGTAGTCGGACAAATGGACGACGAATTACAGGAGACCTACCCCAAATTGACCAGTGAGTAAAATATTTTGTGATATCCCCGTTTTCAACCGCCAGATGGAAGGCAAGGGTAGTATCAGCATAGCGCAGTCGCTGATGACTTTCAATACAGCGTTCGCAGTCCAGATGTAGAGATTTCGACAGGTTCGTCGAAATGGCCAAGGAAACTGCCTTCTTCGAAAGGATATGCCCTCGTCACTAGGCGAAACTTCCCTTCGCACAGCACTATCGTGCTCTTTTCCCTTTGTCCCTGCTTTCTTTAGTTCGCCTTGTTCCGGCCACGCGGAGGATGTGGCAGCATCCCTCGCCTACCCGAGCCGCTGTCTGACTGCTCGCTGTAGACCGCACCAGAGGCCTCTTACGAGGAACTGCTAACACAGCGGCGTCACTGCCGCGCCTGCACACCCCGCTAACGGGCACCAGGCTCTAACGTGAGCGTCTCCGAGCCGATGTCATGATAGATGGTGTTTTATTTATTTTTCGCGGAGGGAATGACGTTATGGAGGTGCTAATCTCGTGTGACGAGCGAGGCCCCACTGACTCCTGTATTGTACCCAAATCATTAGATTTCCACCAGCCTAGCACGTCCTGTGCCTCTTCTAGGGGACCTGAGCGACCGTATCGCTGGACAGAAAGTGTACATACATACATACATAATGTCAGACGGACCGATAGGAAAAGTCAGCTCTGCCTAAGATTTAATCCGTACCGGGGTTTTCCTTCGAACCTAGATAGAGACTTTCAACCTAGATGACCCTGATGACCCTCAACAACCTAGATGATCCTCAACAACCTAGATCATCGGCTAGGGTCGGAATCACTAGGTCAGGGATATCTGGCCTCTAGATCAAGGATATCTGGCCTCATCAAAGGCATCTGGATCAGTCAGATCCCTAGGTATAAATAGCTAGCTTTCTCCCTTCCTAGACCAAAAGACAAGATCATCCATCGTCCCAAGCTGTCTCAACCAATCCAACTTGTCTGATACATAAGCAGCAATAGCTCAACTGTCCCCTGTAATGTATGAGTCGTATTGTGTTTGCTGCTGTTTTGGGGAACGACGTCCTCGCGCTGACAGACTTTCTTACGCTGGGTTCAAGCCTTCAAGGGCCCGCTGGGGAACCTTGGCTCCCTCTTTGGTGGGCGTCGGCTTTAGCACCCGAGCCCGCTGTTACCTATCAGTCGCATATCTCCTCTGGGGCTAGATAAATCCAAGTGTCAACTCAGTAGCTTGATATTATCCCATACTACTAATTTAGCATAGAGCCGTCTTTTACTTTAATATAGTGTGATGGTCGGGTCTAACCTAAGGGTATAGGGTAGGTCCGAGGCGTGTGGTGTATAATCGAGTGGATCAGGACGTTGTAGTGAGTAATGTAGGTTACGGTCTGGTAATAGTAGAATGGTAGATTTAATATAACTAAGTATATTAATAGCTGGTAAGGCTATCTATCTATAAAAGTGCTAAATAAGTATTTATATACTAGTAATATTTATGCAGGCTTATTGAGTAAGGGTAAGTCTGGTCTTATAGCTTATCTGGGGGGAGTAAGTTAGATGCTCTGGCTTACTTATATAGGGTAAGTTTAGAATTTATATTAGGTGAAAAAGTAGGTATATTATAGTTTTACTAGTTATAATTACTTAATTTTAACTTAGGCTGTAATATAATATCTCTTCTTCTATTAATTATATTTTATAGCTATATTTAAGATTATTTCTTATATATATATTAATATATTATTAACTTATTTTTTTAATTATTTTAATATATTAATAAAATATCTAATTAAATCTTAAAGTATTTTTTAAAATTCTATAATATTCTTAAAATTATAATAAGTAAATTAATTATAGCTACTTTTATAGAAGGCTTTAAGATATTAATTTCTACTATAAACTTATTAGTTCTTATTATTATTATTAAGAAATTTAACTTTAAAGTAATATTTTATTCTTATTATATTATCTATAGGTATATATATAAGATACTAAATAATAATTCTAAGAAATATAGTTTTTATATTAATAAGAGTTATTCTTATAATAAAATTAATATTTCTTTTTATTTATATAAGTTTTTAATTAAATTTAGTTATATTGTTTTTTTTATTAAAATAATAATAGTAACTTAAGTTATCTTTAAGATAAAGTATCTTAATAATATAAAGTTAGAGTTAGAGGAGGAGTTTCTTAAGAAGTAAGCTACTCTTTAAGCTACTTAGGCTAAGTTTAACTAATTTCTAAACTTTCTAGAATATACTTACTATTAATATCAGTTTTTAATTATAACAGTTAGGTCTAATTCAAAAGTATAGAATAGGTCTAAGGCATATAATATATAATTAAGTAGATTAAAATATTATAATAAGTAATATAAGTTACAGTCTAGTAATAGTAGAATAGTAGATTTAATATAATTAAGTATATTAATAGCTAAGAAGCTTAAAGCTCTTATTTAAGAAATCTAAGATCCTATTTATATATATCTAGTCTATAAGTCAATTAGAGATATAAATGTTATAATTAATAGTAATCGGGCCTGAATTAGTAGTAATTGTATAAGGTAGAGTTCTAATTATATTAATATAAAGTAATGTAAAAAAGTAGGTATAGTTAGAATTTTACTAATTATAACTACTTAATCTTAATTTAGGTTGTAATATAATATCTTCTCTTTTATTAATCTTATTCTTAAGTTATATAAGTAAACTTAGTTATTTATCTTAAGATTAATTTGTAAATTTTCTATTTCTTCTTTTTTTATATTTTCTAGTTATAATACTAATAAATATTTAGTTATATAACTAAATTTAAAAAACCCACTACTAAATATATTACTTAAAATTATTATTTTTTATAGATTTTTATAGAGTTTATTAGTACTTTTAATTATATTATATTCTTATTATAAAAAAGAGATTTTTAATATAAGATTTCTCTATAATCTTT